TGGATTTGGTGAGCTTATTTGCGATTTGGAGAGCTTATTTGCGCGCGCGGAGAGCTTATTTGCGCGCGCGCGTGTCGGACGGGCGCGCGCATCTTGGCCTTGCTCGCGCACCTCGCGCGCGCGCGCGTCTCTATTTGCTCGCGCGTCTCGCGCGCGCGCCTGTTGTTGCTCGCGCACCTCGCGCGCGCACGTGTTAAATGCTCGCGCGCTCGCGCTGCGCACCCCGCAGCTGGTGAGGCACCATATATGAATTCATATGTTTTGAATCAAGCCAAATTATAATATATTATAAAATAATATATTATGATATATCATAAAATTATATAAGCTAAATTATATACCTTAACTATCGATATCATGTTTTGATATACTGCTGACATCCGTTAAGATTGCATCAGGTTTTGGTCTGAAAGTCTGGGGTCTCTACTTCAGAAGCTTCGGTGTTGTTGGCTCCACCGGGGTCCTGCAATAGCAAAGTTTGGCAGGACATCGCTTCCGGAACTATCAATGCAGTTCGCTTGGATCTCAAATGGGCAATTGGCATAGGATATGGCAAAGGATAAACCGGTTTCTGAAAATACAAGATGAATTCTCCTTAGCTGAAGTAGGTGATGGTTCCACAGAGCCAGATCGAGCAGCTTGTTCTCGAAGATCCTGGCGTCCAGAATGTTTTTACACGATTTTGGTTGTTTGATACGATGTAATTGAACTGAATTGAATTGCACAAGAAGCTTGAACCCAGCCTTCAAGCGTTCTTTCAACTCTTCATCAGTGGAATCCACCCAAGGTTCGGTCTTCACATCAGAAAGCACAGAGGACATACCCCTATGCAAAGTCTCAGCACTCCATTGGCGTGAGGCCATACGTGTTGGCTCCCCATTGGGGCCTTCAACTGACATGATGGATGAAGCTGGAGGCGCATGGGATGCCACCAGCAACTGTGAGCCTTCAAAAATGTGTATCAATTCAAAGTGGGATTCAAAGCAACATGAAATTTGTTCCAAACTGTGAGATAGCTTCGCAAAACTCTGACAAAAGCCAGTCAATCACAACTGCAGTTTCAGAAACGGATTCTTTTTCCATTCAATTGCCTCCGGCAGTGAATGCACGCAAGAGGTGTGCACTGGAATTTCCACAACTCCCCTGCTGGGCTTTCAAGTGGCATATCAAACAGCCAAAATGGCCACCAAGTGCCCTTGAAATCTCAAAAGTGTGTTTTTGTTGAAAACCTTAAAATAACCCTCAAAGTACGTACGGAGCCTACGTATTTTTACGGGATTTTACGGGTTCTCTACGGGTATTTACGGGAAGTCAATTTACGGGTAAGTCATATACGGGGTATTTTACGGGTGTTTACAGGTTATACGGTCGATTACAGGTTGCAAATTTCATGGGTTAACCAAAACATTAAAAAATCATAAAAAACAATGAAAAATCATGAAAAATCAAAAAAACATGTAAAAAACCTCCCAAATGCTTTAGAAACTTATTTGATGCTACATTCCTGTGGGCTGAGGGTCCCTAAGAGGCCCCACTGGTGATTTGGTTTGGGAACTCCGTATATACATTTCCACCCAGCAAGGAAATTCCTGCCTAAAAGACAGTCGGGATGCGGCTGCGAATCTCTGGTGGCAGCTTCAAGTTTGTAGATCCCCTTAAATAATGGCACACGGATTGCAATTCTGCATCCTCCCAAATTTGGGTCCAGTCCACCTTTTCAAGGGACAGGAGGAGATCGTCAAAGTCAAAGTCCCATCGTTTTGATGGTGGTTGAGCATGGTCCCGCAGCATCAAGTCACGAAGTTGAAGTAACTTCAATCCAAATCGCACTGGGTAATTCCTTGGCAGTGGCCAAAGTTTGCAACTTGACCACATGATGTCAGTCAATTGACCCACACCTCCAATAGTTAAGTTTGGGGTAGTCCAGGCTATATGATAAAATCTAAAAGTTTTGTCACCTTCAATGTGTTTTTGGTTTCATGTGGGCTCAATACATCACCCAAAATCATTGCGCCAACAAACCCGCGCAGAGCGCCAAGAACCAAAGCAAAGCACGAGGGCAAAGAACCGTCACCAACCACCAGCGCACAACAACAGGCAGGCACAGCACCAAACCCAAGACACACCTCGCATACCCACCGCGGAGCACCACATGAGTAATTACATCCATGACAGATCGCGACAAACAAGGCAAAATCAAAGGTTAAGCCAACTTCGCAGTATGTTGACAATCTTGGTTCGGCATGCATGCCACTTCACCATCACCGCTTTGGAACTTGGATACCCCATCCCAAGAAATGTTGGTAATCACAATCCCCATGTGAATCAAGATTTGTAATGAGATGGTGATACAGTGATAGTCCTTCCCATAACTAAAAACTCCAAGGCGGGTAGTGTGTGTGTTTATTTGGCTCTCAAAATGGTTAAATTGGGAGACGAACAGAAAACCGCTATTTTTTTCACATGTGGATAAACTGATGCATAAGAACCCTTATGTGGGAATGCCCCAAGCTTTCCTTTTTTCTATTGGGAAACAAGGGTTGGGGCATTGGTATCACCACCTCTTGGATCAGGGATTTTTGTTTCCTTTCGTTTGAACTGTTTTAGGGAATGCCATCAGATTACCCCAGTTCAATGGAATGTGCATATACTCAATATGAATCCAGCCAGGTGGACGCGGGCTACCCCTCTCACAAACATCCAATACCAGAAGGACTGGGTGGAAAAGTTGGGATCGGGAAAGCATCAGAAAAACCAAACCTTTGAAATGTTTGATTGGATTTATGATCCCGGGGTTTCAGGGTCCTCCAGATTTAATGATTTTACCCATTATAAATTTGCCACTCCATTTGTAAAATGATGCATCAAATTGTGGGACCATTCGAACACTCTACTACAATTCATGCAGGGGCATCCCCATTAAGACATATTAAGACCAGTTTCTCAGTACGCTTGAGATGGCGAGTTCCATGAAATCTTCGTTTCCCATCCTTCCCTTTATAGGATCGGCAGGGCTTCCTTCCTTGATTGGAAGCTGCTTTCCAACCCAGCAGGCGTCCAAGCGAAAGCTTCGATACATGGGGACTGTTGCTAAAGATCACATGCCTCTTCGGGCTCGTAGCTCCATAGTGATACATCCACCATGCTGCTTCGTAGACCTAAGATTCAAAACGGAAACAATCTTTATGTTTTGTTCTTCTCACATCCAAATGCAGATGAACATATTATATTATATTTTTCACATGTCTCAACATCAGTATTAAGTCACGGAACTCTGCTGACACATGCCATGTGTCGGAACCTTCCATACCAGCGGAGCATGGATAGGAATGGCTGTTCCAAAAGGTACACGTTGTTCGTGGCCAGGGCGAGCAAACATAGTAGAATCGTCCTGGGAAGCCAGAAGGCAATTGGGGCCCGAGGTTTTCACCAAGTATCTGAAATCAAATATCCTACTGTCCCTGGTCATTTGGTTTGACAACACAACCCTTGATAAATGAAACCTAGTTTCCGAGCAGCCATGCAATTAGCCATTCTCACACTGATTTTCGTGGTGTCACCAGCCGGACAACATGGAGCACGCTTGCTCGTACCCTGATTGACAACTGTCCATGAAGAGCATTTCATGCCAAGGAGGATCACACATTCACCAGCTCGGGCTCGTAAGATACTTGCTATGCACAACCTTGGCATTCGTGCATTCAAAGGGGACAAGCATATATCAGCATATTAAACAATTTGAATTTGATTCTGTTTCAACCGGCAATTTGCCAAGAAACGAGAAGCCCCCATCAGTCAGGATATTGTAAAAGTTGTTCCCTTCACCATCAAAGTACATATAGTCAAGACGTGCTGCTCGCAGCCCAGCCGATCTCATACAAAGTGTTGCCCTTGCTCGTCCAGAGAAAAATTCTATGAACTGCAGGTCCTTCAAAGGAATTGAACACTTATGATTTGGATTGTTGAAGGCTCACCCCATGATAACCCAAGACAACACTGTCCCAATCCTCCTCGATGTGCACCACATATGTTGTCAGGAGCACTGCTAAAATGAAGTCCTTGGACAGCAAGGCCAGGAACAACCCGCAAAGGAAAGGGCTGGGAGGATATTCCATTCCAACAAGTTTCATTTCGGCTTAAAACTGAAATAACATAGTGCTAGATTGAATATACAGTCGAAGTTTCAGCAGGAGCAGCCATCGCCACCAGATGACACACGATATTTGGAAGGGACTTCATTGCGATTGGTCGTGCTCCCCCCACACAGAACTGAACCCCAAATGCTCGGGATGCACTGTCATCCACATATAGCACAGGTGACAAACATGACATGTTGTGAATGGGATAGATTACATAAGAAGATCACATACAGCTCAACAAATTCACGGGAGTTCACATGGCTGGTTTCCTCAATTTTGCCGGGAACACATGATTCATCACGAAGAAGTCCACGCTTCGCAGCCCAGGTCCGACCTCTGATCTTCAGCATGGGGCATGGCCTCAGAGCAATCAGGTTCAGAGGGTTGTGTGCAAAAATTCTTGAGGGAGGTGCGCATGCTTGAGATATTGAGAACATTCAGCCCAAATTTTGGGAAGAACAACTTGCCAATGCGAAGGTTTTTTTCTCTGACTTCCGCACACCGTTTTGACCAAATGTCTCAGAAATTTCATTCGAGCACTTCACAGAGCCCCAGAAGATATGTCACATGCAACCCAGTAAACTGGTTGCCAAAACCCCTAAGAGCAGCAGGTTCTGCCCACTGCCAACATATATCAGCAGGGCCGATTGTTTTCTTCCACACCTCACCGTGAAAGCAAAAAGCTAAACAACTTGATATTTTTGATTAGCACGTGAATAGATAATATAGTGTTAATATAATATAATGAAATTAAAGAACCATGATATGTTATGATATCATATGATATCGTGGGTGTTCAAGAACCCCTGTGTCTAGAAACGCACCAGGGTGAATCAGCGACCATTGGCACAGGTGGCCAAATCAATCGACATCAGCAGCATCGGCACCTTTCTCAGCTTTGTAGGCTTCAATGGCTTTCATGGCAATGTCCTTGATGTTCTCCATGTGGTTTCGGACGGAGTCCGTGAACATGTCAAAGCCCTCATTCTCAGCAGCTTGCACATCGATCCATTCAGCCTTAGTTTCCCAATGTGAGAGAGTTTCTAAAGCCACTGTTAAAAAAAAATAAAGATTACCAATATGTTCACTCGAACTTGATACCACAGGACAAGAAACAGCGACAAGTGCACACTTCATGGCCAAACCAATGTTGCAAACATCTTTGAGATTGAAGGAGAAATTGTAGCATTCCAAGTTGGTGCGCATCGGGTAATCCTTCTTTTTAGCCCTCAAGCCAACAGAAGGCCTTGATCGGGTGTAGTAGCAAGAGAGCGTAGTCTTTTCAAATGAGGCCGGTGGAAAATCATCACCATTCAAACGGGACTTCCCCGACTTCCAATGATGCGAAATTTCACCCCTGAAGGCACCTTTCAAATCTTCAGGGCTCAAGCCAACAGAACTTGGGCCACGAGCCTGGGGAGTAGCTACCTTCCGTCCCCGACGTTTGGGCTCGGGCTTGACCGTCTCAGGTGAAGCATCAGCTGCAGCATCATGGCCCTCATGCTCAGAAGGACTGGGAGCGGCGGCTGACTTGCCACCCCTGGAACATCGAGCCCTCTTCTTTGGGGATACCTTTGGGGATGCCTTTGGGGAAGCTTTCGCCTTTTTCTTAGGGGACACCTTCGCCTTTGCCTTTGCCTTGCCCTTTGGCTGTGCTTTCTTTGGAACGCAATTGGAACCACCATCTTCCTTGGAACTTTCCGAAGCCTCAGTATCCTTTGGACCCTTGGCTTTGCATGTCTTCCCCCGTCTTTTTTTTATGCCTTCCTCATTCTTCTTTGTCTTGCTGGCAGCTGTGGCATCACCCTTGTTTGTTTGTTTGCTGGTTGCCTTTACACCTTCATCATCATGGTCATCACCTTTCTTGTTCTTGCCTTTTTTTCCTTCGCATCCCAAGTTGCTCACGTCGGGTGACCACCTGGGCTAGCCATGAGTCAGGACATGTCACGTGGAACATCTACCCAAACTCAATATCATAATTTTGTTTGATGACATTATGACGGTGTTTTGTAAACAGTTCTGCATATTTAGTTGGACAATTGGACAAATAAAATGCTCTTGATTTCCACTATGGCACATCCGACTCATCTGGCTTGGACGGCTGAAACATTGGTACAGGTGGAAGGGCCCGAGGCTTTTTGACAGGTGGCTGAGGGGGATCAACAGAATCTGTTTCCTTGCTTCCATCTACATGATCACCTGTGACATCTGTTGTGGCCGTGGGTGGGTCAGAAGACTCGGAACCCGTAGTAAAGACCACAGCATCTTTCGGAGCACTGGGCAACTCAATGTCCTCAACGAACATGGGCATCGTGTCGCATACATCCAAATTGACCTCCACCGGCAAGGAGTCCGGGATGATCATCACTCCTGCAGCAAAGCATGAATTTATATATAACATATGACAAATACACAGCAAAGGAAGTGGAAAATCAGGAGGGTAAAATTTGAGCGACTCGTTTATTTGATTTTTATATTTTAATTATGGATTGAAGGGGTCACATGATAACAAGTTCTTTTCTCACACCGCTCTTGTTCCATCCCACATCCCAGCCTTGTTTCTGCGCTGCATCCTTTTCTTTGCGTAGGTGTTCACGCCTGTAAAGGTATCAAAAGACCAAAGTACAGATGCAATGTACTGATCAGACCTGTCTGGTGTGCACATATGGTCTTCGGCCTCTCGAGCTCTGCCATGATAGCTTGTATCTCACGTTCATATCCCACACAGGCACCTGCAGCCAGCACAAATAAGATGACACAAAATATCACTGAGCATACATGATCCAGACCGTCCCAACATGGTCCCATTCAAAGAGAACAACAGGATGATTTTGTCGATATCAATTGCGCCTGAACGTGCTGAAGATGACGATGGTTCATCAGACTCATCACCCCGAAAGTGTTCAGGATCCAAATGTGTAGCTTTGCGCAGCCGTGGGGTCACCTTGGGTTCCTCCCTTTCAGGTGTGAAAGCGGGCTCTTCACTCACATTTCGGGGTGACTCATAGTCGTCCAGTCCAAGTTGGTTGTCAGGCTGATGTCGGTATGGGTCAAGGTCAACAATTTCAACATCAGAGTCATCGCCATCATCATTTCCGGGGTCTTCAGCATCATCCAGATCAGTTGTGGGCACAGAATCAGTGGGGATATCATCTGTGGCCTCTTCACCTTCACCATTCAAACCCCCATCCTCTTCATTTTCATGTTCTTGGTCTGCGGCATCTCCAGGAAAGTCGACTTCTTCATCATCATCCAACTCCTGTTGGGCAGTGAGGTGGCAGAAGGACTGGGTATGACTCGGTGGAAACTCTTCAAAGTGGCCCTGGATTTCAAGACCTCAACAAAAACGGGCTAATCCAAAGGGTTTCTGCAATGAAATTGGTATAAGTACGATGAAGAATATGAATTAAGACACACCTTTTGTTTTTGACGTTCAATGTTTGAATCCACTTTATAGTCACTGTAGTCCTCTTCTTCTTCAGCGTTCTGTGCCATGACTTCATCAATCACTTCCTGCACAGGGCTGTTGGTGTATAAGAAATATATAATATATACTATAAATTTATACAAGATAGGAGCATGTTCTTTCTCGTAGTTGGCTTGAGTCATCAATGGGTTCAACTCGGAAACCAATCCCCACCTTGAGGTCGGGGAAGTAGATCAATAGGAGCTGATGGAAACGGGTGTCTTCAGTACACAGCTGTAAGCCGGCCAAAATACACATGTGATGTGTTTTAGTGTTCTGTCAGTCTTGTCGGAATGTTTTTTGAATGTGCCTACTCTCATTCACACATGATTCATTTAAAAAAATACATAACCACTGATTAAGCCATGTTTCCCTGGGAATCTCACATCGGCGACCCTTCCTCTTAACAAATCCAACAGCGGACTTGATGCCCCAAACTTCACGGTAGAGGTGTTCTTCCGAAGGCGACAGGCCATTCATCCCGTAGAACTTCTTCAGCTGAGCGGTCAGTGGTTTCACTTCCGGCAAGGTCAGATCCCTAGGCATCAGGCAGCCCCACAAGAGCTGGAATTAGAATGCTGTGGCATGGATATATCATTTACCTCAACCCCGAGACATATCAAAAAACATATATGTGTACACGAGCTACCATGTGACAGATCTGGTGAAGCAGCACTAACATGAACATCGTGAGCGGCACTTTAAATTCAGTTGAGATGCTCCCGTGTCAACTGGAGCACGGGAATGAGTGCAGTCACATTTTGGCTGCAGGATGCAACCGTAGCGCGAAAAGTGGCACCATCAACATGCAGGACTGACTTGAACTTTCGAAGGTGTGACCTCACATCTGGATCACCATCCCAAAGTCTGGAGAGGTCTCCCAACATCACCCTAGGTTTCCTAGGCATTTTGCCCTGCAACTTGAGCCCAAAATCCTTGGACCACCCAACACTCCAGGACTTCGGCTGGCGCAATGCATTCGCAATGATCCAACAGTGCAGTCCAAGCCAGTGCAAAAAATTGGGGTCCGGACGGAGAGAAAGGGCAACAAGTTGAGGATCTACTGATATGGAGTTGTAAGAATTCTTCAAGGGATATATATGCCCTCAGTATCAAAGCCCATCAATGTGAGTATCCCGATGGTTCTATATGTTTTGATATGTTTTGATCGTTGTGCCCACCTTTGAGCCAGCCATGGATTGGCAATGGATTGGACCTGAAGTTGGAAGGGTGATTTCAAGGTTTTGGTCAAAACCCAGGTTTTTACCTCTTTAGGGGGTCATAACCTGAGTATGTTTTCAGAACCCTGAAAAAACAAGGTTCCCAGATCAGAGGGTATATATATATAAATATCTATACCTATGAATTATACATATAGTAACTTTTAACTTAAGGACCTATGAACTATAAGAACCAGGCGGTTTTCATGGGATGATCAACCGGGAAGTTGCTATCAAAGTTGGCCTCACAGTTGGTGCCGGGGGGACCCGAAAAATCACCAGCATCACCAGCCAGGTGGGACAGGAACCTCATCTGGTTGGTGGTAGACCTACCCCTGTGAAAAATGATGGATTGAAAGTCAGTTGGGATGACGAAGATCTCCCAACTGAATGGGAACATAAAATTCATGTTCCAAACCACCAACCAGCTCATGTTTGGTGACCCTTACAATACTTTGCGGCCTTCCACTGTTGAGATGATTGAACTTGATGTCCCTCATGTCGCGACACGTGAGGGACGTGATTGATGACCCCTTTAGGGGGATTCGGCTGTACCCCTCTCGCTGTTTTCAGTACTTTTTACATAAACCCTAAAGACAACCTAGAAAACCCTAGGAAAAACAACCATTAACCCTAAAGAAACCCCAAATTAAACTTAAAGAAACTCTAAAGAAAGCCTCAAGAAACCCTGAAAAAAGCATGAAAAAACATATGAAAGTGTGTATAGGAAGTACCTGTGGGGCGTAGCGTACGTACTGCGGGTAGGAAAAGGAGAAAAAGGACAGACCTGGCTCAGAGCGTCCAAGCTCGGATTCAATGAACCGTTGGTCAAGAACTACAGTAAGTATCAGTAAGTGCAGTAACACTCTCCCTCTCTCTCTGGTTTATGGTAGAGTGGTCTCTAGTGAATAGGGTTTATAGCCCAACTTCAAACCGAGGTGTACCACCTTGCAGGTATTGCCCTGCCATGTTTTCTGAGCGTCTGCATAGACGCAAAGGTAGCCGTAGAAGAGACGACCTGGGCCCGGAGCGCCGTAGCTAGGGCTTGGTGAATCCAAGTCATGGCCAAGTTGCAAATGTAGAAATTCACCTTGGTTGCCACGGGAAACCACGATATAACATGACTGCAATGTAGCCGACGAGCTGCCAAATACTGTCTCTGGGATGAACTAATTCACCATCAAAAAGCAACCGCACGCAGGGATTTAAGGTGATTTTGTAACTACATCTATTCTGCCAAAGCCCCAAAAAAAACAACACATGTCAGGGGAAAACCATGAACAATCCCAACCACAGCCTCCTTTTTTTTACCTTACCGCACTTCCACCAGCAATCCGGTCCAGTGGCCCACGCTAGGAGATACATCAGCGGCGACAGAGTGCCAAAAATGATGGCAATCAGCATATTGATGGTGAATCGGGCGCTCCTGACATGTGCCAGGGTCAAAAAATGGGATGAATGGGTATGCTGCTCCTTATCCGACCATGGGAATCCTTTTAGTGATAGTGGTGAATCGATAAATCCCTATCCGAATATGAGCGATTCACCCAAGTTTTTGACCACGGAATGTAACACCAGGGCTGGTTTGGTTTGTGAATCATGTGAATCAACATCTAAACAGAACAAAACATGCAGCCCAAAATCAAGTAGTTGGTTTTTGATCAGGAACAAAGGAATGTTATATAAGGTGATTTGACAAGAAAACATGGAAATATCAACTTGCTAATTCAGCAACTAGTGAACTGAAGTGGGATGATTCAGCGGCCTTTAAATAGCTCCTTCAACTGGAGTGATCCCATGCTCTCAATGGACGATTGACCAAATCTTACCGACGAATATCGAAGAAGGGCCACCTGCCCAACGGGTTGCATGGGTTGCCTCACTTGGGTTGCTCCCAACACCACAAACAGTGAAGGAAAAAATGCTGGAGAAGGTAAGGTAAAATGATAAGGCAACCCGGTTGTGGCTATCATGTACCTGTATATGTGGTTATATATGTATTTAAAGGGTCTCTCTCAACCTGATGAATGAAGCATTTTGCTTGACTTCTCCCTGTCATTAGAAAACTTCAATAGATCACCAACAATTACCAAACGGTACCCTCTGATAAACTAACATAACTATGGAAAATCACCATTGTTCATGGGAAAATCCACTATAAATGGCCATTTTCAATAGCTTTTTATATGTTTACCAGAGGGTAGCTCCTTTTGTCTCCCGCACTGCACATCGGGATCGGATTGGAGCCGTGGCAAGATGCACGGCCGCTGCGGAAAGAAATGGGACAGCGGATGCAATCTGTACAACATCCTTCGCCGTACACCTGAAACTTAAGATGGAACCCATCAAATATCCTTTAAAGAAGTCCAAAGAAACATGGTTCCAAACTGATTCGTGACTATCCAGGCTTCCGGCGTTTCCTTCAATGGCAGGCACGTTTCTTCAAACACCTTCTGAGTCGACTTGCATCTTCTCGTCAGCTGCTTCGGCTGCTTCGGGTTCTGTTGGTCGAATCTCACCTGGACGCAGCAGCTCGCAAACGAAGAAATAGACTCAGAGTAGCGGAGTAGCGGTTGGAACACCAATGGTTTCAGCATAGTTTAGTTTGAAATAGTTTAGTTTGAAGGAGTTCAATAGCTTTCGTATGGAACTCGCATTTGGAACCACAAGCAGCATAGTTTCAACGAATCATTTGAGGCAAGACTCAAGCTTGGAAGCCAAACAAGTCGGATGGTGCAAAGCACTGTAGACAGAAATGACTCAGTCAAAGCAAACATTCCACATTTAAATTCATGAAAATATATATATATACATACTCTATACTATATATATATATATATAATATACATATGCACTGATATGACATACTTTAGCTATATCCATATAGATATCTAGAAACACTTGGGCAACCGAAGTCGAGTGGAAAACACCAAGGCACCGTCTTGGTAGCCACGTGGCACGGCCTTGGCTTTGCCCTCATAGGCAATGCACCAATCCGTTCGGGGCCTACGAGGCGGCGTTTTGGTCAGAGATGCATGTGGTACCTGTATAGCCATGGTAGAGATGGCCCATTTATAGATGGTTTACCTATTAAAAACGGTGATTTTCCATGGCTATGTTAAATAACCAGATGGTAATATATATATATATAGTGTATATATATATATATACAAATGACACATGTATAATGATATATGAATAAAAATGATTATAAACATATATATATGCCTGTAATGCACATATCTATATATAATATGTGATGATATGTGTATATAATGTCATCTCATGTAGGGTATGTATGTGTGAAATAGGTGAAACACACGTAATCGACACATTTGTAGTCGACATGATGCCATTTTGGGATGGTTAAAACGGACATGATGCCATGTCATGATGCTTTGGAAGAGCCACAACGGCCACAACTTCCTCCCAATAAATGTTATATCATGAATGTAGAATCAGCCAATAATCAGCCAATCATCAGCCTTAAATTGATGTAAAATTGACAATATGAATATGGATCTTGTATGAAACATGAGGCTTTCTTGTAAAATTGCCCTTTTTGAAAGTTGATGTAAGGGAAAATGATCATTAGTTTATTGGATGATATTTTCCCTTATAGAGACTCATAAAATGACGGATGATTTTGCTCTCCAAAAAAAGAAACTCCAGCCATCATTTGTTCCCTGGCGGTTGAACCAGCAACTTTTTCAGGAACTCGCCAAATCCATTGAAATCCCATTGTTGAATCACTATACAGATTGCATTCCCATTATTCTATAAAGTATGTATTATTCCCAACTCATACTAAATAGGTATCATACTATCATACCGTCATTAATACAATTACTATACTGTCTATCCCAAATACTATCTCAAGTAGCATCGCGATCCAATCGTACACCATATGCATCATGAAACATACTACTATTATAGTACTATAAAACTCATTACCAGACTATACCAAATACGTCCAACTACCGTCTGGCACTTTAACATAGCCATGGAAAGCGGTTGATGTCCTCATGATTTGCCCATTAAAACATTGCGATTTTCCAAAGCAACCTGCTAGGGTACCAGAGGATATATCCACCATAAAATGATAAAATCCCATGATATAAAGATATATAAAACCCATTAAATCCCATTGAAGCCCGTTAAATCCCAATAAATATCATTCTATATAATTATATATACTGTATATAAGTTCCATTGGATTCCATATATCTCAAGGAAAAACAACTTCACAAATCCTCAAATCTGCCACCCCCTATTTTTTGGCACCTCAAAACCGAGCCATCTCCGCAAACGTCGTGTGCCACTTGACCTGGTCCCAGATGGGAAAATGGGGCTGGAAATCCACTGGGATACCCTCTGGTAAACTAAGATAAATCACCATTTGTTCGATATTTTTTACATTTTTTTTCAATAATGGGAATTGGATTTTATGGTGATTGAATGGGATGGTGATTGAATTGGATTTTGTGGAAAAGCACCATTTTTGATGGGTAAATCAACTATAAAACTATGGACATTTTCGATACCAAACTGGTAGTTTCCAGAGGGTATAATGCCTGAAGAGTGCCCAGCCAAAAAAATATGGCTTCAGCGTGACTGTTTGACGCAGGAAACTTTCCAGGGCGCTGGGAAAGTAAAACCAAACCCCCAAACCACTGAACACTGAGCAGCGAGCGCTCGTGGCTTTGCAGCATGCTATTCTTTGTAGCATAGGGTATCATAAATATATCTGGTTGGTGGTTTCAACCCCTCTGAAAAATATGAAAGTCAGTTGGGATTATTATTCCCTATATAATTATATGGAAAAAATCATGTTCCAAACCACCAACCAGATATAGATCATGTAAACCGACGCGTCAACTATCCAAAAAAGGGGCTGATCAATGGCTTGCCCAACCATGATCGGCCTTTGCAAACCATCTTTAAGACCCTCTTTTCTTGAGGAAACATCACTAAACATAGGAGTTTGTCAAGCACTTCATAAAGAACCCCGATGTTCGATGGTGAAAATCGAAAAACCTTGGAAACTCATTACAAGATTTCCTTAGAACCAACGGCAACCAACCTAGAGATTTTGCGGCGATCACTCAGGTTTCACCGTGCGCCTGCGATCATCTGGGTGTCATACTGAGTTCCGTTGTCGTCCACCAGCACTGGCACCTTAGCTGCCATGTCGTTGATGACATCCATTATTGATTCTTGCTCCCTTTGCTAGCTTCAAATTTAATGTATGCTAGTGACATAAACCCAACAATCCCCACGATTTCTTGATTTAAACCCATCTTATGCACACATTGATATGTTTGCTGGCCACTGGTTACTCTCGCCATCACTGGTTACCCTCTGGGAAACCTACAAAAAACTATAGAAAATCACCATTTTCAATGGGTAAACGGTAAATCAACTATAAATCACCATTTTCAATAGCTTTTTGTATGTTTACCAGGCCGGGTACTCTCCATGCCAGGTGACCAGCAACCAACTGCGTTTCGCCGAGACGCTGAAACGGCACCCACCGGCACCTTCCCGGTTTCCACGTCGGGCCATGGGTCCACCTCAGGTCGCCGAGGTCGACGTTGTTATCCGAACACCTATGGGAGTCATAGATGAGAATATGTCTTGTTTTTTCCTATTTATGTATTTATGTAATATATATAAACAAATATATATATATATATATATATATATATATATGTAGGTACATGTATGTGTATGTATATGTATACATATGTAAATGTATGCATATGTATATGTATGCATATGTATATGTATGCATATGTATATGTATGCATATGTATATGTATGCATATATAAAGAACTTTAGTGAACCGGGGAGGTTTCGTGGCATGGGGAGTTTGAAGAAAAGGAGAGTATGGTGGGTGATCGGAAATGGGAAATAGGATGGATTACGACGGATGTAACAGTAGGTTCTTCATCTATTATGATGAGTATAAGTTAAAGGCTCTTCACCAGAAGAGAAGCTTATAGGAGCAGCAATGTTGCAGTCAGGAAACAAAATAAATACCAGTCTCAGTGCTACTGGCATTTGACAAAATAGATTTTTTGAAAAGGTTTCACGGAAAATCTAGATAACACGTTTGAATAAAAGCAAGATTTCCGCTCAAAAACACAAAGGTACCACATCTTTACTCAGCCGGTTGCCCTCCCAAAATACTTTCCACTAAGACAGTTTATCAAGTGTTGCCACTGACTAAGACATTCCTCGCTACGAAGAATGAATCACATTCAATTCAAATTGAATTTAGATGTTCTGCGTTTTCCCTAAAAAGAATAACTGTTTAAGCTACATTAATTTTTCAAGAGGTAACATGTCAGAATATATATCAGTTGGTGGTGGGCGGTGGTACTCCACATTAAAATATAACATGTCAGAATATATTATATGTTAGTTGGTCTTACTCAATGAGTGATCTCCTGGAAAACAGTTGAAACCTTTTTCACTGGGTCCGCGCGCGCACCACAACAAGCTTGTTTCGGGGTACTTAGGGGGGCGCGGACCCAAGGAAAACAGTCAAAAGTCTAGGCATTGGCTCAGTAAGTGGTAATCTGCATTTAAATTTAAAAGACAAAATTACAGAATATATGTCAGTTTTTTGTGTCAGAAAAAATACTTGGATATATGTTGGTTGGTGGGGGGTCATCCAAAACAAAATGTAGAGATATGCTAATAGAAATTCAAAAAAAAACATAAACAAATGCATAGTTTTTGAATCATATTCCAAAACCTCACCGGAAGGCTTCTACCTAAGCATGATGGAGGGTGTGCCTTAACATGATTCTGTGAGAACACCTAAGCATGAACAATCTTCAGGCTCCAGCCTGCGTACTCTATGCCTGCCATTGGGGGACCAGGGTCTCCGCGCCCCCTAAGTACCCCGAAACAAGCTTGTTGTGGTGGCGCACGGACCCAACGACAATGGTTTTAACTAAGTTCTAGAAGATCACTCATTGAGTAAGACCAACTAACATATATTCAGACCTTTTTCTGACACAAAAATCTTACATATATTCTGACATGTTATTTCTTAAATTTTAATGTGGAGTACCACCGCCCACCACCAACTGATATATATTCTGACATGTTACCTCTTGAAAAATTAATGTAGCTTAAACAGTTATTCTTTTTAGGGAAAACGCAGAACATCTAAATTCAATTTTGAATTGAATGTGATTCATTCTTCGTAGCGAGGAATGTCTTAGTCAGTGGCAACACTTGATAAACTGTCTTAGTGGAAAGTATTTTGGGAGGGCAACCGGCTGAGTAAAGATGTGGTACCTTTGTGTTTTTGAGCGGAAATCTTGCTTCTCTTCAAACGTGTTATCTAGATTTTCCGCGAAACCTTTTCAACAAATCTATTTTGTCAAATGCCAGTAGCACTGAGACTGGTATTTATTTTGTTTCCTGACTGCAACATTGCTGCTCCTATAAGCTTCTCTTCTGGTGAAGAGCCTTTAACTTATACTCATCATAATAGATGAAGAACCTACTGAGTACATCCGTCGTAATCCATCCTATTTCCCATTTCTGCTTGATAGCCTTATACCGATCACCCATCATACTTTTCTTTTTTTCAAACTCACCATGCCACTAAACCTCCCTGGTTCAGTAAAGTTCTTGATATATATATATATACAAATACATGTGCATGTATACATATGTATATGTATATATATATATATATATTTATAAACCAATATATGGCTATGTACATATATATATATACTTATAGTAGAGTGGTAAACCCAATATTAAACTCTCCTTAATAGAGGTTAGTCATAGGGTATACCGCTAGCGGCCCTAGCAATGGGATGATGATGGATAATCCCTTCCTCCTATTACTAAACGTCCCCCAAATACTTAAAACAGGGGTCCATCTCCAATTTCGGAAAATTTCAGATTGGCCTATTTGACTTTGAATTGATCCCCTTTAGAAAACAATTTAAAAATAAAGCTACCATTTGTGGGTTTTGCCCCCTAATACTAAAAACTAGTTAACCCCGGGGTGTTTATTATTAGGGTCCGTCCGTTTTTTTTTAGTTTTTAATATTAGGGGCTTTTAATTTATTATTAGGGCCCGCTTCGAAAACCAATGTTTGGCAATATTTTAATTGCGTTATATAGGGAAAATTAATTGATTTTGAAATCGAACAAACTAGTTTTTATTATTGCGGGCTTAATTTTATATTAATAGGGCCCGCTTCGAAATCCAATTTTTGGCAATATTTTAATTTCGTTATATAAGGAAATTTAATTGATTTTGACATCGGAAAAAATAGTTTTTATTATAGGGTCCGCTTCGAAATCCAATTTTTTGCAATATTTTAATTGCGTTATAGAAGGAAATTTCATTGATTTTGAGATCGGAAAAAATTGTTTTTATTATTAAGTCCGCTTCGAAATCCAATTTTTTGGCAATATGTTAATTGCGTTATACAAGGAAATTTAATTGATTTTGAGATCGGAAAACATAGTTATTATTATTAAGAGTTTAATTTTATTAATTGGGTTCCCTAATAATAAATACCCCCCTAATAATAAAAACTACCTGAGGTGTTTATTAATAGGGGAGGGGGGGTTAGTATTAGGAGGAAAGGATTAATGTAAAATAACTCCCAAATGGCTGGTTACTGGGATGATTTATCATCTGGTTTACCGCATTAAGATATTTCAATCATAGATAGTATATAGAATATTGGATAACTATTGTTGTTTAAAACGAATACCTATCACATTATCACTAATTCACTCATTTTGCACACTTTCTTAGACATTCTTACAGTTGCGGGGGCTGAACACCTGAATGTCTTGAGAATAATCCAATATGATAATAAAGAGACTCATGTTTGATGAGAAAAACAACTACATAAATACCGTAAATGAATGTAAATGAATAATTGTCAATTGCTCTGTTGGTTTGCCACATCCTCCTATCATGTAGTTGCTCACACCAATCCATCTATGGACTGTTTTTTCAAAAAAACGTGGTGTACTTTCCAAAAAGAAAACAAGGAACCTGAAGTAGCAAACTTGTTCTACTAGTGTGTTGGTTCAGTTTGATCTCGATAGCCACCCACCATGACAATTTCATGCATATGTGTATTTGCATACAACGTCCCCTATAATCTATAGACACCCCTAGGCAGTGAATTGTACCATTACATCCAGTCAGAACCCGAGGTTACATCCGCCGCCTCAACTTCCGCCAAGCTTCCTTCTCCTTCTCCTAGGCCCCAACCCTCATGCAGAATCTACTTATTACTTTGGAAGATGTCAAGCTTGGTAAACCCATTAATTACTTTTGAATACATGGATTCACTATCCAGGTTTGCAAGTTTCGAACCCCAAAAGCTGGCACGTGGCATACACCTGTGAAATTCTTCTGCCACCCACCCAATCTTCACAAACAAGTACCTTTCTAGTCTTTGGCCCGTGACATCTGCCTATCAGTCAACTTAGGGACGCCCAAACCTGATGTGATTTTTGACTACCTAAAGAATCCCAAAATATCCTAGGTATTCCTAAATGCCTAGGTCATTTCATTGGTCATCTAAATACATTTAATAACACCTACAGGATGGGGCCCCAGTTCGTTCGCTAAGCTGGTTTATAACATTTTATAACTATAATAACAATAGATAAGAGTGTATATGATACTTATAAATATTATATATATATATATGTGTGTGTGTATTTACACAAATATATATATATATATATACATATAATAGTAAATATATAAATATATATCATATTTAGATGAGGATATAAACCAACACTTATAATTGGCGGGCACCCATCCTGTAATTGACGTTAACATTACTAAGGTCCAGCCGCAGCCACGGGGCCTCTGGTGCCATCCCCCAGCCACGGAAACGCACGTCGCCGCACCACACACCCTTGGCAGAGAAGGGGATGAAGACCTCGGCGCGAATTTTGGGAAAAATCCGGGGATTTTTCGGTTGCGAACAGGAAAAGCCCATGGAAAATGGTGATTTGAACCAACAGAAACCCTATCGAAAATGGTGATTTCGCGCAATGATTCGATCCAACAAAAATGTGACCTGATTTCATCAACTGCTATGAACACTGAACTAGCACAACTGGTTCAACCATCAAAGAGATACACCTGGCAAATATTCAAACAAAACAGTTGACAAACAAACAGAGTTTTGTCAATTCCAGCGGATCTGTTGCAGCACATTAGAGGCAAGGCTGTATCAATATATCAACATATATCAACCATTACTGGATATTTTTGGTTGTATTAATCGTATTTAATAATCAGTTCTCCGCATTTTATCGAGGCTCCGTGATCCAGCCAGACAGGAAGGTAGGACCAGATCCACCGCCCTTGTAGTGACCTATGGCGGGGTTTAGTGATGGTTTCAGAAGTGGTTGAAATCGGAAGATCTATGGGAAAAACCTGTACTTGATGGTGAAAAAACACAATCTCTTGACTGGTTACATTGGTTCAGGGGAAATCTGTAGGAACAAACATACCCATATATTTCATGTTAGAGCCGATAGATTCCTGTAAAATGTCCCACAAGGTAATACAGTGAGAAGGAAAAATAATCCGGAACACCCTTGGGTGTGGGTTGGACATGGCACACACTCACGATTCTAGTGACAACCTCGATTGTCACTTGTATGGAAGAGGGTTCCTCTTTAGATTTGTTTTATCTATAAATTGTGCACATTGCCCTGTAAGAAAACACCATTTGTTGGGCGAAGTGCCATATATTTCCTTTCAAAACTACCCAACCAAGCTTGGCAAAGCGCTATAAACTTTACCCTCTGGTAAACGTTTACATAGCTATGGAGAATCACTATGCTATTAATGGGTAAATGGGCGCGCGGAATTAAATTAACATCTTGTTTGGTTCTGGTTGTTTTTTCATTGTTTTTCCACCAGTTTTCATCAATGTTCCATTGTTTTCGTTCGTTTTCCAGCGTTTTTCCTCTATTTCCGATAGTCGTTTTCAATGATTTTCTAGCGTTTTCCATCAGTTTTCCATAGTTTTCAATCCACTATTTCGACTGGGCCATTTTCAATCGCAAACTGTCTGACATAACCAGAGGGTACGACCCACCAGCCTAGGGGGTCACGGGTACCAAATCATCCCAGCTATGGGCCTAAGGGATGTTCTAAGCTACCCTCTGGCTATTTACCCCCTGGTAATTTAACATAGCGAACTCGAAAATCAATTTTTAATGGAGGTTTATAGCTGGGAAAATCATCTGTAAATGGGCCATTTTCATCCATTTTCCATAGCTATGTTAAATTACCAGAGGGTAACATAGCTATGGAAGCCATGGTCCATTGATAGAGGATAAACATGATGATTTGCCTATCCAAAATGGTGATTTTCCATGTTAAATAACGAAACGGTACATGAGTTGGGATATAACATAACCCCAGCAATTATAGTATCCCAACTTTTGATTATTGTGATGGTGAAACCAATCCCTACATTACTATCATTACTGTTACAATCCTAATCCTAGTCATATAATGATATATAAGTCTAACCCCCACAAAATAGTGGAACTTCTCAGGATACAAACAGGCTGCGAATTCCATTAGAATGTGGCCAGGAACATCAACGCTGAGTGAAGGGCTGGCATGTGTGTTCAGTCCGTTTGAATGGTTGGTCCTAAAAAATCACATCCAGTAATGAACGCATTGTACATGCAGCAAATCAATAGTTATCAGAATTATATATATAATATAGTTATCAAATAATCAGTGTGTCAATTATATATATATATCAAATAATCAATAGTTATCAGTGTATCAAATAATGCATCCTACCATGTAGTTCCAGATTCAACTTGTTCCCACCATGATCATTGAGCCGTCTCCCCATGGAAGCACCCATTTCTTGGGCTAGCCACACACGCGATCCCAGAAGTCCAACTCAGTCCTAAAATTCGCCACGCGCGGCAAGGCCGGTAGAAATGACATCAGCAAAGGGGGAATGGGAGATAAATAGTTACTCATAGTGAAATAACTATCGGCTATTATTGGCTATTATTGGTTATAATTTTATAATGGTTATATAAGTGGTTTTATCATCTTATCATTATTCCAATGTATTCCAATTATATAGTTACTGGTTGGTGGAGATAAATAGTTACTCATCTGGTTGGTGGTTGAGCCCTACCCCTCTGAAAAATATGAGTTCGTCAGTTGGGATGATGAAATTCCCAATATATGGAAAAGTAGAAAATGTTCCAAACCACCAACCAGTCATTATAGTATAGTGAATTAACTATCGGCTACAGGGATTTTTTTTACTCTGTTATAGAGATCATGGGAGATTTTCACTATAGGGGTCATGGGAGTAACTATCTGCTTTACAGTGAAAATCATTACTGTGTCCAGATAGTTCAGACCCAATAAACAACTATCCCCAAGTTTTGAGGGGTGATAAATTGTAAACATGATCCCTACATGATTGGTTTATTAGTGGGCTTACTACATGATAACGAAAGTATGCTACCGTCAGGCCGTTTAAGGACATGTTTGCAACATCCGGATACACAAAGGTTGCCTGGTTGATCCGGCAAGTCTGGTCGAGGCTAAGACAAATCAATCAGAAAAAGGATTATATAATGTAATGTAGGTAAAACAATAATAAACCATCCCCCAAATCACCATTTTTATAGGTGGTATAAACCATTCCCAAATGGGTGGTTTCTGACATTGTTTTACCCACATTACCAACTAAGGACTGCTAATTATGGCACTGATCAGTGTGGGCCGCGATTTGTTTTAAGATTCCGTGCTGATCTTCACGGAAAACAAAGGGTTTCAACCGTAAATCTTTATGAATAATCTCAAATAAATCTATATATTGGGCATACCCTTCGGCAATCAAACATGGCAAGGGGAAACCCTCTCTATCAATGGAGGAATTCAAAAATAAACGAACTCAATGGAGAATATTCCAACTAACAAGCCAGATTTGATTACTGGGGTGCAACTTAGTTAAACTATCCCCCAGCAGTGGGATAGTTGGATCAATAATGATAAACAGCAATTCCACCAGGAATCAAACGTGGCAATTATACAACTATCCCTCATTTAGTTCTATGATTTTCGCTAAGAAAATCATATTTAGTTTGGTGGCTTTTCCAGCTAGCCGCCAGTTTCATGGCCCAGAGATTCATGGTATCTGTGAAAATTGGATCCAAAACCTATGAACAAACAAATGATCCATACCTATATATAGATGCTATTAAGATCCATTAAGATCCTGGTTGGTGGTTTCAACCTACCCCTCTGAAAAATGATGGAGTTCGTCAGTTGGGATGATGAAATGCCCAACTGAATGGAAAACATGTTCCAAACCACCAATCAGTTATAGTATCCCAACTTTTGATTATTGTGATGGTGAAACCAATCCCTACATTATTATCATTGCTGTTGTCAATGCCCAATAGATGGAAAATATCTATAGATGAATAGATCATCTATCATATAGAGATAATGGATATATAGAGTATAATAATCTAGATTCTATATGGACAAGTAAAACCAGATTTCATCTTTCTCAGTGGACAAAAGCATCTCGGTCACCCCCCTGGGATGCCCATATCTCGGTCACCTTCCGGCCGCAGAGCTCACCAAGCGATCCAGCACGGGCGCCAACATGCCATGCCACTTGGTCATCAACTTGTCCTGGCTCCCCACGAATCCGAATCCCCGAGCAAAAAGAGGATAGAAGTTACCACGGATTCAAAAAAAGGATTCAACATGGAACATGTGTTCTCCATATTGTTGATGTCATCTTTTATCTTTATGGGTGTGTATATATATACACATATCGATACATATCTTATTTTTGTGTATGCTTGCAGGTGCAGCACAATCATTGTTTTAATATTGTTTATGTATAAACTCATGCAAACCACGGATGGTGAATTTGTGGCTGCAATCATCCACATCTTTGATGGCATCACAATCGATGCATTGATTGTCTGCTTCCGGCAGGCTGTAAATTTAGATGCACTGGGAACTGGTTTCTAAATATGAAAATAAAGAATATGCAGGATGTAAATTATTGTGCATATTATTTAGGAATATCATCTTAGCATATTTCTTAGGTGCAAGAAAGGTCATGTCTGGATTCAATGCACATTTAAGTGTGTCTGAAAATTGGGCATGCCAATGCATGCTGCCAAAGTATCCCTGCAACAAATTGCAATAAGGGATCTGATGATAAACAAGCCGGCACGTTCCAAACAATAAACTACCAGGGAATATGATGCTAAAATTGCTAAAGCACAGCCACTAATCCTGGATACCCTGCATTTTTTGTTTGGCTCTTTCTTGGTCAACACTCCCCATCAAAATATACCAAAAGTAGTGCAATATAAACGACCCAACCAGTTGGTTTCCCCCAAAAAAAGGCGGTGAAAATGTCCTACTCCTCACATCACCCAACAGGGGATATTGCATTTCCAACAAATACATGTTCAGGTGATGATCATCCCAAACAAGGGACGTTTACCAAACCCCTATTCATAGTGACTCAAAAAGTATAACAGCATACCTTAACCAATAAAATCATTCGGAGTGATTTTTTACTATATGACTATATAGTTATATTTCTTGTTACCCCTGCGAGCTTTGTCCTCCAGATCGAAGTCCATCAAGCGATCGATCTTGGCCTTGGCTCTGGAAGACTGTTGTTTGGAGGTAAGTTTAAGAAACAAACGTGATGATAACATAAACATACCTTAACATGAAAATTAGCATACCAGGATTTAATCATAAGTTTAATCATTGGTGAAGTTTTCTGTTTAACATGATGAAGCAGGACTCAATCATAGAAAGAATAAAGAAGATGCATCTGTACCCCTCGTTGCAAAATATTACATGATATAACTATCAATTGAGATATATATATATATATATGTATATATATATGTCATATCCATATAAATCAAACTACATGTTAGCTTGCCAGGTGCCTTTGTCTGGATGGACCAGAGGCAGACCTGAAATCATGGCTAGTCGTCTTAGATACCCTGCCCAATGGAAAGAATATCATGTGGGTATCCTGCATGAGCATTAGAAACAATTATGGTTCAGCAAATGACCAAATACAACATACATCAAAATACCGTCCAGTAACCAAGCCCGGCAATGGAACATCACAGAATTATAGACACTAACGTAATTAACTATGGAAAATCACAATTCTTAATGGGTAAATCCACCATAAATGGCTATTCCCAATAGCTACGTTAAATCACCAGAGGGTATAGATGATTGTCCCATTAAAACTTCCATTTATAGCAGATTTACGAGCCGCGTTTGAACAAAAACCGCAAGGATCCGAAACACACACTGCCGACTCGTGACGCGAAGCTGTTGCCAATCCTCCAATGTGCCCAGCAAAGTGACCTGACCATATCCGTCATGGGACCCATGGCCGATAGGAAACGAATGGATAAAGGGAAAATCTATAGGAAACCATGGGATGTTTCATGATTTTTCCTATGAAAAAAGTAATGTTCCATATGTTTCCTGTAGATTTATGTGCATTTTCCCATTCATCCAGCTTTGGCATAGTCACATGATTGCTGCGAACGAAAAGGGATGAAAAGGGTACCTTTGCAAAATCATTCCCTGAAACATGACGGAAACATGTCAAAGAAAAATCTGCGAGTCAATCAACATTCCTTTTTGGGAAAGCATCGCTGAATCAGGTCCCCGAGTTAACACGTGTCAGAAGCCATTTGGTTCATCTAGTTGTGAAAGGTGCTGGACAAATCCAAATCAATTCTCACATGTGGTCGCCACAAAGTCACGCCAACAAAACCAAATGTCTGTATATATATATATATATATATCTGCATGTATATAATCATATGTCGGCCGTGAGTTTCAATAACTATGACAAGCCCCATCCTTCCTCTTTGAATGAGCGAACTGAACCCATCTCCCTTGACAAGGTTCACTGGCTTAATCAATAATTAAGCGAATAAGCGAAGCAAACCTCCTAATTCACCAGCCTGACCTCAGGCGCTGTTTGGGTGGACCCAGTTAATCAGCTATGGTTGAAATGGGGAGGTGGTCCATGTCTGACGTGCGTTTCTTGCTACGAAACGCCAACAAAAAGTCCCCGCCTTTGGAATTCCACAGCACAGACAGCACACATATTCCTCGCATCGAAGATGGGGTCCTTGCTATAATCTATTGGGAAGAAACCTGACCTATTGTATATATATATATATAGATAGATTGATAATCATTGATATATATGTATATATATAATTATGTAGGTTTCCCTGGGCCAGCAATCAAGTGTCTGAGGCACCCTGCTTTTGGAATGCCACACTCCAAATGGCAAACATACTCCTCACTCTGTTCGAATTATCCTAACCAGAGTTCCAGCAAACAGTTTTACGAACCACATGAGCTACAACGAAGTACACAACGTCTTCCTCGTACTTGATCTTTATTCAAATCACTGTACGTGTTTGAGTGATGTTGAGAGTCAGGGTTTTTCCATGTTTTTCAAGCTCAGGGGCCACCAACCAGACAGTTCTGCATTGTTTGGCGGTCAAGCCATTGCCAAGTCAAAGCATGTCAAGCTTCTGCGGAATGAAAGGGACATCTGGATTAATTATATATATATACTGGTTGGTGGTTTCAACCCCTCCGAAAAAAAAAGTCAGTTGGGCTGATTATTCCCAATGTATGGGAAAATAAAAAATGTTTGAAACCACCAACCAGTGGTGTATATATATATAGCATAAATATATCATTAAAAACACCCCAAAGACATCGAAACACTTGTTCACCTGGCTGCAAAATATTTGAAAATTCACTTGGTGGCTAATTGATTGTGTCACAGCCACCTCATGCTGAGTTCTATTGACAGGTTTATTCATAGGATACCTGGGGCGCATCCGAGCTAGTAACTGGTTATATAATGTCCAACTACAGTATAACTGCGGCATATGCCATACACATACACACAAAAGTTGTTTTTTCAAATTGTTGTTATGCCAACTTACCAGCTGGGAATTTGGGGCTGGCTACATACCCATCTATATAATACCTGATGTTCTGTCACCGTCCATTTCTTATGCCCAAAATTGCGTTGGTATTTCCTTGGGTCACTTCTGGGGAGTTCCCAGCACTCCCATGCTGATCATTACCCGCACGGCACCAAGTTTCAAAGTATGCCTGCAATGTGGACATCAAAGTGACCTAAGCTTCGTGATGACGCTTCCGTTGCTCTCAAACTCTATGGCATCCCTCATTGAACCACACTCTTAAGTTAGTTGAAATACCCTCTGATAGTTTCACATAGCTATTGAAAATGGCCATTTATAGTGGATTTACCCATTAAAAATTGTGATTTTCCACAGTTCTGCGCCCCGACGATTCACCAAGCCGAACAATTTGGCTATTGGAGGTGATTGCCCCTGAAAAGTCGCGATTTGAGCTCGCGAGAGAAACAATTGATAAACACAAGCAATATATTTTAATTTATCATATATATATACTAAAGAGAGAGAGAGAGAGAGTTATATATATATATATATATGGTATATAATGATATACAGATACACACAATGTTACACCATCACATCCCCTCGTACCACCATTGTTGTTGCTCAAAGCTGCTGAAGCCCGCATTTTTTTGTAGGATGTTTGCGGCTGTCACCCCCACATCACGGCTAATCGTTGATATCCCAATTTATGGCAAATGAAAGTCCTAAACTTTCCTTCACCAGTTGGTTGACCCACGAAAAAAGATCAACTACTCACAATTTCTGGACCCTACCGCCGTTTTTGATAGTAACCAAATGTAAAAAGTACATGTAAAAAGTACCCATCCAATTATTGTTGGTTGTGTCTCCATTATCTCCCCCAGTATTTGCAATAATTTACTTTGTAATTCATTCCAATTATAATTAGACATGTATCTGCAACCATATTTTTTGGGGAATGTAAGCCATAAATTCTGCATCATATCATAATTGTTGGATGGTTAAATTCAGTACCAATCATCATCTGCACCTTTCCCCGTTTTTTTCAAAGCCACCGAGGCGGCGATGCGGTCATTGCTTGTGGTGGTCGTGAAGTTGGGGATCACCCTTGGCGATCACGTACGGCTTGGCTTTACCCTCTGGCAAACTAACATAACTGTGGAAAATCGCAATTTTTAATGGGTAAATCAACTATAAATGGCAATGTTCAATAGCTATGGTAAATTTGCCAGAGGTACATGGCCAATCCCAATGTCGGGAATCCTAATGGGAACATGATGCCAAAACATTGGGTTAGCAGCACGGAAAATGAGGCCAATGATATCCAGTATCATCCAGTATTGACAAACCAGTTCGATCCATTGAAATATGCCATATGGTACCATGTACTATGTTTAGATATGTTTAGATCATCGACTCTGCTTGTCGTACAAAAGCCAAATTCATGGGGGTACCCTTGGGGCAGGACCCTTTTGGGGAGGACCCGCTGCTTCTGTAGAAAGCCATCCTGCTTTGGGGTCCAAATCTCGAACTTTGATTCAACACATATTCGGAAGAAAAAACAAAACTACGTACGATTTGGCAATGCTTCTGTAGTGCGTCTTTCCACCATCATTGGGCTGATGCAGAGCAAAATGACAAACAAATCATGGTCCGACCATCCCATTAAGTGAGGATTCTGGTCTCTGGTAGATATTCCTTTACACCAGCTCTGTGACACCAGCATCATAGAGTCCCCGATGGTCTCAGTCCCCATCACCTCTAACAGTTGTAACCAGGGACCTTGCTGTACATGAAAAATAAAACTGAAAACTCAAAAAACATGGAACACTTCCAGGAATTTGGGTGTTTGACCCTCCCAATTTGACTCTCCAACAACCTTTTTTTTGGTATCTCGTTTGGTTTTCCGCACACATTTGGGGACATTGGCCCTGTGCACTGTGGCAGTGGGAGATAGGACATTCGATAAAACTCACTTCAGAACCACCCAGCTAGATCTGCCAAACAGCAAATTCAAATTGCAATGGTTCACTTATTCAATATATCCCTCGGAATTGGAAGGATTAAATCCAATCAAACATTGGCAGTAGGGCTGCCTCATCCCAAAAACGGCGGACGCCACCAGTCCACCCTTTGTGTCAACTTGGAGCTAGGTTACACCTTACTTCAATCCCAACCATCTTTGTTCACGCACTAATTGACAGGGTCCTTGTGGGTTCCTTACCGGCTTAGCACCTCCTGTCCAGATCTGGACATATCTGGAGCCTTTTCCATCACTCCCAGTTTTGCCCATGCGGTCTGGCTACCACTTCGCAACCTCTGGGTCTTTGATGTTCTTGGCGATCTTGTCCTTGCTCTGCTGCTGCTGTGGTTGGATTGATTTATAGACTCTCCAGCTATCTTCACGTGCGAAGCAAAGGCAATGTAGCAAAACACCAAGCCGGTTGTGGGTATCTGTGGGTAGTTGATCATGAATCGAGTCTGATGAGCTCTGATGTGTGTGTTGGACCACTTCAATTCATTGCATCATTTCGGAAAAATCACTGGATTGGTTGAAGGGAAAATCTACAGGAAACATCAAGAAACCATGTTTTTGTCCCATGAAATATAGGATTTTCCTGCAAATTTTCCCTTAACCCAATCGAGTGAAAAATGGCTTCCCAAATTTCAATCATCATTGGCTGCCCAGGTCGCCAATAAGAATCAAGTGCTAATGGCAGGCGTTTCACTTCTTCCGACCGGTCAGGGAAACAACCCCAGTGGGTTGTGAGGAACCCAAACACCTTTACCCCAGGCTCAACACGAAGCACCAACCAGATGTCAATCCTCCAACTTTTGGTGGGATTCTTCAACCTTTGACCCTAAAATAACGCACCAAGCATCCGCCATTAAAAGAGCGAAGTGTCCGAAATCCGCGCTGAACAGGCTCCCGCCCATCTCAACAACCAGGGTTTTCTTGCCTGCGCAGGAGCTGGGTGGCACTTGTCAACTAATATGATGGAATACAAAATCGCCCCCCCCCACTAATAAGTTGATTGTTGGTTCCATTTAATTTAACAGTAGAGTAATCCACCATAAATCCTGGTTATCGTAGTTACAAAACATAAACCGACTTACCTGCTTGGGGGATCCTGGGGGTGCCGTTGGAGTTCTTAATGGCTATAACTACGGCAATAACCTCCATAAAGTGGAATATAATCCTTACAACTCTGGTTACTCTACCCACTTGCTAGTGAAACTGCACCTCCAAGTGCTTTTTTTTGTGCAGTAATGTGGTACACCCAATAATAAACCATCCCCGTCACCACAAATGGTATAAACCATCCCCAAATGGTAGTTGTTTATGGCATTGGGTTTTCCACATTATCTTTCTTGGGCACCTTACCTTGTAGAACACCCAACTGTTGAGGTTCACATGTTTTTGTGTTTCGGATCTGGAATCGCAATGGCAGTGCCATGGCTCTGAACCCAATTGGTGACCTCTACTAGTTACACTCTGCCAATCAATGATTGGCCATTGGACGTCCCCTAATAATGGAGGTTTTAAGAGGAAAATCATCTATCTCTTCTCTCTCTCTCTCTCTCTCTCGCCATTGTTATCTCGGAGTCCGAGTCTGCCGGTGGCAGAATCATCTATAAATTATAAATAGTGGATTTTCGATTGCCATGTTTGATTACAGTAGTTGTACCTATCACAAAATCAACAACGTTAAGCCTTAATCATTTGAAACTCACAAACTGGATTGTACCAGTCATATGTTTATTTGGGTTGCGCATCACATTTACAGTAATTTGTTTTGCTTGAATCCCGATCCCAACATGGTGGGACGCTTGCTTTTGCATACGGCCTTGTACATATCCAGTTCCTGCTTCGCTTAAACAAAAATGTTGCTTAAACCATATATTTGTGTTGGTTCCGTCCGATCTGTTGCTGGTGATGTCCAATGTTTTGTTGGTTCAATCATTCAATCCCTTCTTTTTTACTGCTTGCTTGAGATGATTATCTTCATCATGAATAACATTAATTCTACAGTGTTGGGCTGAAGTGAAAAAAGTATTGCTTCTATTGCTTCAAGCTACCTGATCCCAAGTCATTTTGTCTACATATGACAATACGCATTCACTATGAAATTCACACATGAAACTGACAAACGTCACCACTGACTACTAAGAAGCACCATTGACTATTAGTCATCACATCATCATTCATGTGGTAAACCATATAGTGAACAATTCCCAATCAAAATGTTGTATCGAAGGTATCCCATTGCCTGCAACGAACATTGCCAATCTTAGATGCCCAACATTTGTTTACAGCTGGTTGGATTCATTACGTATTCATCAAACCGGCCAAGCACCATTGGGTTCAACTACCCGAGCAAGGTTCCCCCAGTTTGGTGGACCCAAACAACCAACGACTAAACACCAGTGCTGATCAAGTCGAAAATTAAGTTCTATTAAACTCTCCAGTTAGTTTACTCCCATTCTTGACGGTAAAATCTTAAGAAAAAACCCTAGTCTTTGACTACCCATCCAGTTCGCTGGTTGACCCAAAATTCTCTGTTTTGTCCTATGGAACATTGATATGTCATCAAGTAGTTCCGGTAGATATCCCATCCAAACTTTCCCTAAATATTCCCAGTACTTCGTGGTTACATTGGTGACATGTAACCCATGGGATACTACCCAAAGGATATATCCCGTCGTGGGCTTGATGGTCACGCTCTGGTAATCAAGCATGGCAATGAAAAATCTACCTATAAATCATTTATAGAATATTTATAGTGGATTTTCCCAGCTATACAACTCCATTTGCAGTGGATTTTCAATTGTCATGTTTGATTACACTATATCCCCATGAATTCCCAATTCCCATTGAATCCCGTGAAAGGCTTATTTCTTCATAGTTGAACCATGTTAAACCACCACCCAAAGGATGAAACCGGAGGGTTTCAAGCCCGCCATTTTTCATGAGAAATCACCTCCGGCTCACCTTGGAAGTCCACGATGCGGTCTCGCAAGGCTTCCGCGCGCGCCTGGATGTAGAAGGACAGCCTGGATGGCGAATTTATGGAGGTTTCCTGTCAGGGGGTACCCCAGCTGATTTCATGGAAAATCCCATCATGGATGAGACCTAGGGGTACCCCTATGGATTGGAAACCTCCAAATGGCCCAAATGGTCATCCATGACTTGGATGAGTTATGAATTTCATGATGATTTGGGGGTACTTGATCTGATAGGAAACCTCCAATTGAGGGTGAAACAATTTATGACAAGGATCCCAAACTCTGTGAAACAAAAAAAATGGTGGCACGGATTCACATTAAGCAGCCGCAGATGGTAATAAACATGTTGGATTTTAAAACCAGCCAGAGGAGAATGTAAACAACACATATAGTTTGAAGCTGGGCCGGGCCAATATCATGCGCCCTGAAACAAAAATCCGCAACAGGACTTGGGATCCTATGGAATTCAAAAAGGGACAGCATCAAAAATGTCAAGCCTGATTTTTTAAAAAGAAGCCAAAACAAGTACCCTCTGGTTATGACACGGTTATGACCAACATAGCCATGGAAAATCACCATGCTATTAATGGGTAAACCATCTATTTCAATGGGCCATCTATACCATGGCTATGTAACAAATTACCAGAGGGTAACCTCTGGAAAAAGCTGGGTGGAACATGCTGGAACCAGAGGAATATTCCCCAGGTTCTGCATTTTTCCAACAATAAACACCACTTTGGCTAGACATCAAACAATTATACAACAATAAGTAAAAATCAAGTGATTATTATTATTTCCAGTATGTTTTACTGTTACAATACCATATTGGACAATAAACAGCAAATTTTGTTCAGTCATCAGACTAACCTTGACCAACTGGTGGTTTCAACGGTTCAACCCTCTGAAAAAATGCTCGTCACTGGGAATCATCGTCCCATTGTTATGGCTGGACATCTTAGACTGATTATGATTGATGGCTGATGCCCCCATTGCTGATGTTTGAATATGGTTAGGTTTAAAAAAAAACGAGAAGTAGGTATAAAATGTTATAAGTAGTTAATACTCATTATCATATTCCATAGCTGATGGTTAAATATGCTTAGATCATCTATTTACAAAAAGCAGAAGTCGTTCATACTCAATATATCATATCAATCATATCCCATAGATATAGATGGCTGATCTAATGGAGATATTTTAGCCATCATACTAAATATGGTTTCATATCAATCATATCCCATAGTAACATGTTTGATAGTTAAAATAACATATATATATATATATATATAGCATAATATATCAATATATCAATATAGTAACAAATGGTTAAAATATCTCCATTTTCGATGGCTTTCCCCAGTCGACGTCCACCGAGATGCTGAGTGAGGATGGCTTGCCAGAAATCATCCGCTCTCCTCAGGCTGCGCCGTTTTCGGCGAAGCTGGTTATGGCGGCCGGTTTTAGGGGAACATCGATATACAAACATTTAGGATCTTTAGGATGAAGCTGTTGATGTTGATTTTGGCATTATATGATATTATATGATTCTTTTATGTTATATGTTGAGGTAGCGGAATGTTTTTTAGCTTTCAGAGTTTGTTTTTGGGGTACTGTTGCTTTTGTTTCCGCAGAAACATGCTTAAGTGGTGGTCCCTTTTGCGCCTGTCGTTGATGCTCATCATCCCATAGGCAGGAGACAAAACATATTTGGAACCACCGAGATAACATGTGGTTGGAAAAAATAGTATTTTTTTGTTTATAATATGATATGTTATATAAATTACAATATAATATAATATAATAAAATTAAAAATATAATATGATATGATGAAATAGAGTATAATATGATAAAATATAATAAAATTAAAAGCACAATATGATATAACATGATATTGATAAAATGAAAAAAAGTAATACTTGGGCTCACAATCCGAATGTTTCTTGAAATGTAAGAAAAGCGAAATCCCCAAAATTTCTGATGTAATCCCAAGTCAAGAAAAAAACAACTAGGAATCCAACCTCCACTCTGCAGATTGGTTTTCTGGAGCCAAAGTGATGGACCTTACCTACGATATGGACAGTTGCCAGTCCGCAGTCACGTTCTAGCGGAAAGTTGTGTTTGGCCACGTGGTCGTGGATGATATGCAACTTACATGTAAAGGATTGCAAAGCATGATAAATGGTTGATTTGAAAATGGTAATCTAAAGCAAACACTATCTATATATACTTGCAACTGGGACGTGAAATGTCTTCCCACTCTCATACAACATCCTACAACCATATACAATCCACAGAATCTGACTATAGTAATTATAAATGAGGAATAACATACTGTACATGACATATAATAACAAGAAACACGTGAACCCCCCTAAAAAGGTCAACATGCAGTACGTTTCCTGTTCACCCCAGCAATCTCTTCCGGGTCTCAACACCAGCTGGTGATGAGTGTTGTAAGCCAACAACACCGTTGACACTAGGCCCCACTCAGCATATAGCGATTGTTCCGAAGAGCGCTGAGCCAAGCTACCTCGACGGCATGGCTTCAGTGATTTCACCCCAAATCATGATCATATCCATATAGAACCCCACAGTGTTGGAACTCTCCCCATTCCTGGTTATATCCGTCTCGTTGCTGGTTACGCTTGCATCCCCAAGGCTTGTTGCAGTTGCGTCGCCTGAGTGCTGGATGATGATGGGAGGAGCCTTCTTCTCAATCTTGTCACCTCTGTCCATGGGGTAACCGCGCCTATGTTGATCCTCAGCTGGCGGAGGGTAGCCCAACGATGTCCCGGAAACGGAGGATCCTCCATGCTTCGCAGTTCAGAAGGAGCCACCTTATGTTTGTTGATTTATGACCACAGGTAACTGTAGATATATCCGCCATAAAACCTAGTGTAAATATGAAACAACTTACGGTAACTTACGCATCTAGGGGTGCCCTTCCTGTAAGAACATCCTTAACATGTGCTCTTCCATTGCCGAGTTTAGGTTTTGAAGGGTCTGGCAGTCACAGCTTGTCCCTCTGGGCGATTCCTACAGCAAATTCCGAATCTGAGACACATTTTCTGATTCCGGGCATTCTCACACAAATATATATATATACACACTCACACACGCGCGCACACACATATACATATATATATATATATATGAATAAATAAACGCATATACACACATATATGTACATACATATATATATATGATATATGTATATTTATATTGCGAAGAATAAACATCTCCTACAGGTCCAACCAAGCCATGAAACCACAATGTATTTTTTCCCTGGCACTCTGCAATTGGACAAAGCACCTCTGTTTCGAAGGCCTTCTTCAAGGTTCTGCTCTCTTGCAAAATGTGTTTGATGTCCTTTTCGGCTGGCGGTTTAGCCAAACATCCCGAAAGTATCAACAGTAACACTAATCAAATAGCATATGATAGCATGATATAATAGATATTAGTAGCACATTGCAATCTATTACAAATCACAGTGCCTAATAGGGAAACACCGCAGTTGTGAACAGCTTGGTAACTGAATGAGAATTGTGCAATGGATCATTTCGCTACAAATGAATGTAATTTACACACGTCACATGGCAAGAAATAGTGGGGCATACTCAACTGCCATGTTAGTCGACTTATCTGGCAATTCAAAACAGTGCACTGACAATAATTAAGCATGTAATCAAGGAACATGTCGGATGAATTTGTCCACACTGGCCGGTTATGGCGCCATGAGTGTATCCAGCGAATGCAAGTAGCAGCGCTGGGAACCATTAGCCACATTCCCTTAATATATACTCTGAAATACTTTGAATATTCAATATAGCACTCCCTCTCTCTACCTACCTCTCCCTACATCTCTACATCTCTACATCTCTACCTCTCTCTCTCTCTCTCTCTCTCTCTTGGCACTTTTGTGTACCAACCTATGTTGTGTATTACCATCTTTATTCCTCAAATCCAAAATGCTGCAGGTAAAACGTCCACTGAATCATGGCTCGATCCAGTAGAAACACGGCACCAAGGCGCAGTGGTTTTCCCTTTGACCTTCCCTATCTTCACTTTGTTACCTCAAGTTTCGTCCCCTTTTCACATTCGCAACGTGAACAGAGTAAGATAGGGAACATAATTTACAGATATAATGAATACATGCACATGGGGAACACACACAAACAAACAAACCAACCAACCCACCAACCAACCAACCAAACAAACCAAACCAACCAACCAACCAACCAACCAAACAAACAAACAACTCAGAAAAAATAAACATCAATAATTTGTATGTGGGCATACTCAGGTTGAGGAGGAAAAAATGATAGCGACTATGGCTTATCATTATTATGATGAGCTGCTCCATCTTTCCAATATTTTGCTCATCATTTCCCAAAAAATATTCCATCACCGTGAAGAGCCCCACAACTGAAAATTATTGCAGGTGACCGAAGGCGTGGAAATAATGCTCGTCAATGTTCCAAAAATCCAATATACCACGACTCTCAAAGTACCCACGGAAATCTGAAAAAAGTACATACCCTCTGGTAAACTAACATAGCTATTGAAAATGGGTGAGTTTTCCCATTAAAAATGGTGATTTTCCATAGTTATGTTAGTTTATCAGAGGGTACCGAATTGTGGAGGGAAAAATCCAACACCATTTTTTGGGTACCAGAGATGAAGGTTTATATATAGCGGGGAAACTCATTGAACTAAATAGGGAATGTTCACTTTTCAGCATGCCACGTTTGACTACCGGAGGGTATATCCCATTATTACCACATTATATCCCACTTATATCCCCATATAATATTCGCATTATTATCCCAATTATATCCATTGTACCCTTACTATTTCCCAATTTATTCCCTATTATTAATTATATAATATTTCCCACTATTACCGTGTTACCCAGTGGAATATAATATAGTCTCTATTCACGTTTAACGTAGAATTACACTTATATAATGTAGAATTAGATGTAAATTAACCCTAGTATATAATCCCATTACTTTTCTATATCATTATGTACCATTAACATCCCCTTAATCACATTCCCATTATAACTATAAACATTTACGCTATGCTACATTCATAGAAACTTATGGCCCATATATAAAATGTCACATTGTCTGTAAATATATGATTATATCCCACTAATCCCACTAACCACATTAATTACGTACAATATGAGTATATCCCATTCATATCCCATTAATCCCATCCATTGTAATATGTTACACTTGTATGATTTCTACATGATTATGTCTCCTTAATAATCCCATTCCCATTATAACATATTATAACTATCAACATTTACACTGGGAATGGAGGTATAATATTATATTAATGTTTATATTAATGTTTATATGTTATAATGGGAATATAATTTACACTGGGAATGGAGGTTTAATATAATATATCTACCATTATTAATATTTTACCTCCAATATCCACCTGCATTAGATCCATAACCTCCATAACCTCCAGGCAACTGGTCGCTGTGAAGCTCACCAAGTGATCTCCCATGGCTGCCAAGTCGTCACGGTTAAGGGAGGCTGAAACGGCTATGGTGACGCAGAGATCTGAGGTAAAATGGGATTTGTTCAAGGAGAACACATGGAAACTGTGGAAACTGGCTTGGGAATGGTCGAAATATGCTGAAATAGTTTGTAAGTGTTAGTGAATATCGGTGAAATCCATGAAGTTTGGGATTTGTTGGTGGGTCAAACATAGACATATCGACAAAAATAGCGGTTGAAGTTGTTTCAACATGCTACGAGTGTAGAACTCATAGCAATCAAAGGAGGCGGGGCTGGTCAAACATCCATAGAAGTCACATGCCAAGATGTCGTCATATGTCGTCATGTTGCCTTTTCATCAACATTGAACATATCTTTGGATTGAGGTCTTTTACTGTTATCAACATTCACATATCTTTGGATTCCCATGATGATAATGGCATATAATGGCCATAAAGGAAATCATCAACATGCCCAAAAATCCAATAGATTCATGAGGCCTTTCGAAATCTCATTCCCATAATCAGATTTTCCAGTCGAATCGTAATTCCATCGGGACCCAAAGTCCTGGATCCCATTCCATAGTAGTCCTGTCCCCGCTGAAGGCATGCAGAAAAAACATGAAAAAACCGTCCAGTTTGCTGCAAACACCTTCAAATTGGGCCGCAAAGTGATCCTAAATGGGTGTCATGTTTTGCTTTTTAGTCAACAACTGTGGTTGAAACATGTTGAAACTCAAAAGTCTGGTAGACCGCTTGCCTTTTTTGAGGTTTTACGGCTAAACGACCCATTCTACATATCACATAACCTATACAATCCATCGCAAATTAAACAACACAGTCCTGGACATAGTAGTAAAAATATTCATTTGTTAAACAATGGTTCACTTATTAAACAATAAGTCATATGAACATCCTCAGGGGGTGTCTCAAGATCCCATCTCCGATGATCCGAGCCCGATCCCAGTATATCTCGTTCAATCACCATAAAATAACATACATATATATATATATATTGTTGAGTTAATGATATATATAATATATCATGTATATATAATATGTATGTATATGTATATATAATTGTGTATGTATATATATATTGTTGATGGTGATGAAAGTTACATACTACGAAATCTCTAAAGAAAAAAATCCAATCAGCGTTTTCCACCCGCTTCGTCCTGATCTTCCGGCTCTGCCAGGGCACGCGCATCATCTTCGCTCCACAGCTTGGAGAAACCCACGAATTTGCCCACCTGGAAACAACATGAAACAACGTCCAAGACACGTCCAAATATGACAAGTTGGGTTTTAATATATATGTTTCAATATGTTTAAATGGCGCTTTAAACATGCTTTAAACATGCTGAATGGAGTTCGAACTGGCTTTTTTAAAACACTTTTTGATGGAATTCAACGGCTTACTCAGTATAACCAGCCTGGCAAATGCAAACTTACTTATTAGGATTCATGAGTTTCAATTTTACAAACTCAATGAGCTTGCCAAGCGATTTTTCCAAGGGTGGCCTTCCCACTGCAAGGTGTTTACACAAGTTTTGGTGGGGTTATTTGCTGCAAGCTTAGCGAACACCCAAACATTTGATGTTTCACAGTTATAGGACTCAGTTCAGGTTCCCCTGCATGTATGCGAATATGAATATGTGTTTCACATCGGGGAACAATCCTCACCATTAAATGTTGCCAATGAGCAGCATGGCTGCACGTCAAGTTCCATGATCTCAATGAATGGTGCATGATCTATGGAGTTCCCGCTTCCGGCCTGAATGTAGCGCGTCAGATTCATGCCATGTGTTACCCACTGCAGCACCAGAAAGTTCAAGTAGTAGTGGGTCGAGGATGGCATCCTCAGTGAAGCAACCGCCGTGCTTTCAGGAACTTGAGGACATGAACATACATGAACCCCAGTACATCCGAAATTGAGAGCCATCAAATCTCGAAAAGCAAAAGATCAGTCAGAAGCTGACCATAGATTTTCCTCCACCCAAGAGTGATAACAGTGATGGCTTCAAGGCTGGATAGACTCTGGGAATCACCCATTCTTAGAGGAAAGTCGTCTAACCAGGTGATTGGCAGGGTTTATGTTGCTTGGGGGGCGGCAGGCTGCTATAAGGCATTTCACCTTCGCAGCGCCAGGTCACTTTCCAGGGCTGTCCAATGATGAAATTTCTGAGTGCATCTCCAAAAAATGATTGGCAAATGCCATTGGGTCAAGTCATATAATTTTGATATAATCTATTATACATTACCTAAATACATTTGCGTGTGGACAGCTAAAAAAAATTACCCACAACGCCAACAGACAGTACTGGTAGTAGATATTTCTGGGGTCAAGGTAAGACTCCAATTGTTAAAAGTAATTGAATATGCATACATATGCTACACGCACAGTCATACATTCATACACATCACATATATATATAGTGCCGGACATATACTTAGAACATTGGTTTTGGAATTCCAAAACATGTTCTAAGTAGAGATCCTGGACCACTACTTAGAACATATATGTTCACGGGATGTTCTAAGTAGAGGTTTTGGGGGTTCCCCCATGTTCTAAGTAAGAATCTCCCCAGCTATCTACGTGCATTTTTGGAAAATCCTGTGTATATATAATATATTTTTAATATTGTAGTTGTCCGGCACTATATATTCATATAATAAAAACTTTCCAAACCTGATGTTCGAATTGTAGCCTCTCACCTAGAGCATCCGGATCCATTCGCTCATTTTGTTCAGCTCAATATATGTACCTATTTATCTCGAATCTCGTCCCGCTGTAGGCTTTGGACCATTCCAACCGCTCAATCGGTCATATAATTTCAATATACCTCAATATAGTCATCTCCATGTATCTTAACGCAACATCACACCACCTGTATATATAATATAAATATGCAGTGTTAAGTTGTATGTATGTATACATATACATATATTTACATGTATATATGATGGCATGTTCTAAGTAGAGGATCCTCATATGTTCTAAGTCACTTAGAACATGCGTCCCCCTATTCGCCGAAAATGTTCTAAGTAGAGCGCGCGTACCCACCGAAAAATTTCCAAAACGATGTTCTAAGTAGTTGTCCGGCGCTATATATATTCAAGTACTATATTATCTAAGTTACTATATGAGCGATTGTGAAAACCCTAGGTTCACGGAAAGGACATCCACAAATTTGGGAAGGTCCCATCGCTTACCACACGTTTGTACAATAATGATATATGGTAAACTTGGGGGGTATCGCTTGCATGAAATTGCTGCATTTATATATACGTATATATATATGTGATGAACTATGAATAATATGTGATATTTGGGTATCGCTAATGTGGATATTAGAGAAATATGATGACATAACCTTGAAAAGGGGTATCGCTAATTTGGGAAGGTCCCATCGCTTACCTCGTGTTTTTAACAATTTCCATCAATTTCCATAAACCAATGTCCGTCGAATACATATTTAGTATTGCCGGGGTTTTTACGGTTGCTCATATGACTGCTATGTAAAATTCCATATGAATCACTATAACATTTATATATCATTGTTATATTATTATTAGTGTATTATTATCATTCTGTTGCGTAGCGTTTTTTCATGAAAGTAAGGTACCCAAAAACTCGATGGTTGATCAGATTTTTCCCTACTAACAAAGTAATTTTGAAGTACCCCCTATTCTCAAACACACCTTAATATCCCAAACATCATATATGCTTGATTCGTCATACCCTATTACATCCCACTATTAAATGTAAATCCCGTTCATGAAAAAATCTCCCGTTCAATCGCATTACACATAATATCATATTGGTGGCTAATGTGCACCCAGTCAATCCCTATTGCTATCCCTATTGCTATCCCTATTGCTATCCCTATTGCTATCCCCATTTTTGATGGTTCAATGGATTGGTTCAAGGGAAAATCTACAGGAAACCATCGATTTTCCCATTAAACATGGGGTTTTCCTGTAAATTTTCCCTTAAACCAACCCATTGAATGGTTAAATCATGTTAAATCCCCATGTTTCATATGGACCACACCAACGCTGCCCAGTGCTGCCGGACCACTTCTTGGCCAACAACATGGGCAGTGCGGTGGGCTCTTTGGCAACGTCCTCCACGAACTGGACGAAATTTTGGCCTGGCCGAGGCCCGTTAAAGGCAGGCGTTGCAACTGTTGGGAGCAATGGTATGCTGGTTGGTGGTTGACCTACCCATCTGAAAAATATGAGTTCGTCAGTTGGGAAGTTGGGATGATGACATTCAAAAAATATATGGAAAGAATGTTCCAAACCACCAACCAGTGTATAACTTTAACGTACCAAATCAGAAAACACACCAACCAGGAATACAGGAATGTCTTGTGTTGAAGGCTCCCATCTAATGCGATGTCGTAAATCATCGATGTTTAGTCACGCTTCGCCGACCCCCCATCTGGTTCCCCCATCTGGTGCCTACTACTGTGACGCCAATCACAAAGAAGACCATGAACCAAAAATACCAATTCCTTGGACACAGCTCTGACATCAAGATGGCGAACAAAAACCAGAGGATTCGAACCAGGGATCCAGCGAAAAAGCACTCCATGGAAAAAGCACTCCGGAAACAATGTGGAAGTCTAAGAACCAACAAAATTCAGGACGCAACCAGAAATACCCAGTCAAAGAAAGAGATTTCGGAATTTTAAACCCAAAATAGTACGGATTAGAACAAAATGGACTGAACGCGACAACCTGCTACCCAAGAGAAACTTCTCCAAGTGTAGGTGGCCCATTGAACCTAAGGACATCCGAGTGCCATAACATGTAGGTTGCTAAAGGTACCTGGCAAAATGCCCCAACAAACAATTATTGAACACATTTATGACACTTCATGACCAATCCTAGATACAATTCGATAAGCAAAGAAATGAACTAGTTGAGGTTTTGTGAGACCAAACAAAAGATTGAGACGATTGAGGTACAAAAAAAATCGTACAAGGTTGGCCCGCTACGAATCAAACAGCTCAACATCAGGTCAGTGTCTGAAGCGGGAACTGTCTGAATAAACAAATGCAACTTTTCAAGTCCACAAAATGGTTGGTTGCCAAAGGAAAAACCAACAAGGGAAGAATTCTAACCAAATAATGCAATGTGATAATTTCAGTGTAAGTTTGCGAACTGGTTGGTTAATTCTGGGACTTGTTTGCATATCTGCGACCCCATGAGTTCTCGTGAACGCAACAGCAGCAGTTCCAGCGTCCCATCTTGCCAAGACTCTGCAGCTCCATTTGGTTCTTCACTTCCTGGATAGCAGCTTCCAGTGGTTGGATGTGTGCGCAGAAAATATTGTACGAATGAATGCAAATTAAAATAAATAATAACAGTAATAATAATGATAGTAACAACAATATCAAAGACATATGCACACCCACACGCGCACATGTATGTATAAAACTATGTAACATGCTATAAATAATCATAAACACCTAAGTTCATACCATGATGCATACAGGCACGCACACACAGACACACCATCTAGTAGTACCTGCAGCGATCAAATCTGGAACGTTCTGCCAATATTTGTAAATTTTGTCCCTGGAATATTTGAATGTATCGCTGCCAGTAGTGTAGCCGTTGAGGAGTTCAAGGGGCGGGCCATTAGTTGGTTGGTTACGTCTGAAGGGCAATTCAAGAGGGCCGTGCAGCGTACTGAAATAGATACTTCAGAAAATGATGTATGCTAAAGGTGCATGTCTGAACGTCCAAAACCAAAAACATGTGACACTCAAAAGCAGCCCGTCATTGTTTCAGCGGTTAAACGGCTTGGTTTGAGAGAAAATCTTAGCTGCAAACCACGTTGCTTACTCCTAAATTCATGGTTTGAGTGGGGAAATCTTCACCGGAAACCATCCCTGTTTACCGTCCCACGTCTCACAGCACAAGTGGCTGACTTGAAGTTGAAGAGCATGGAAAAGATGTTCACCAGTACCTGGCTCCCCGAAACTGATTAAATGATGGCCGTTCGGTCCATTGTCCAACCATGTCCAACCTATGGTCCAACCTTTCTTTGTGGCTCAAGGCTAGGTCTATTCCTGGGGATTTAGTCCATAGCTATTCCAAGCAATGTGTTTTTTTCTGGGACTCCATGGGACGATCGAGTGACAGCGAAGCAAGGATCATCTCAGGAAAACACATGCTGTGCGGAAGACAATGTCTTCTGCAGGACTTGCGGTATAAACATTCATACACATGAATGTCTGTTCTATTTGCAAAAATCGTCTGCATACATTGATATGTACATATAATGCATTTACGATATGTATATATATATATGTTTTTTGAAACGCATTTACGATGTATTTATTATATATACATGTGTATATATATATATTTATATACATGCTGTATATAATTCTCTCTCTATTAGCATATGCACTAATATCAAATCTCCAATCAACACGAGCCAAAACACGCCCAGTCCCATGCACCGTAGGAGCAAAGGCCAGGAAGATCATAAGACCCAAAGTGGGTGCATAGGCCTCAAGGCCGGCCCAAAATACCGGAGAGTAATCTATTTTTCTAATCATTCTGGGACAAAAACCAGCTACAGGTGGGTATAGACTACTACTACATCATACTACAGTACGTCAATCATACTATTTAACAGATTTGTTTCAATGGATTGGTTTAAGGGAACATGTGCACCAAAGCCTCATGATCTTAATGGGAAAATCTATGGCTTCCGATAGATTTTCCCTTAAACCAATCCATTGATATATTGGCTTCGCTGGAAAAATGAGGATTTCACCAAATCAACTGGTTTAAAAAAATTCACCATTGAGTTACCCATTTTCGGTACCCAGCATTTTTAAACATACCCAGACCATTTATTATTTTGGCTCATGGAGTTTGCAGCGCCAAATGAGCAATGTTCGGTTAAACCCTTAAGATGGAGATTCCCATAATATTCCCATAATGGATGATGATATCCGATAAGTCCCCCAAATAATCAATCTTTGTATAGGGTTTTGAACATTGCTAAGTCCCATGAAAAATCCCATGAAAAATCCCATGAAAAATCCCATGAAGTCCCATGATACTGTGATTGCAATATGATGCAATCCTGCACCAGTTAGCATATGGTTTATTATGGTTTACCCCTTATAACCCGATTATTTGCAGTGTTTTATAGTTACCTAACGGTTGCCAACTAAATACAACTAAATCGCATTAAGTCCCATGATCTTATCCCCACTAATGTTGGTAGAACAATAAGAAAGCATCCCCAAGTCATCACCATAAAATATAGGTGCTATAGTATAAACCATTCCCAGTCATGGCTGGTTCATGGCATTGTTTTACCCCCATTAAATCATTATATCATCCATTTGTTGACGGTTAAATCCCTTGGAAATCCCTTGGACATCCCATTCAAATCCCATGAAAATCCGCATTATATTCCCATTTCCCATTCATCTCATTACTGGGATATAGATATATACACATTCCCATCATTGGATATTACTGGGATATATATCATTATATTCCCATTCTTGAAAATCCCATTCATCGGCCCAGATTTGATCCCAAGTCACTGCCCATAGGCTTTGGAAGGGCCCCAAATCCACTGCCGTGGCCAGATTTGTCACCTAAACCCAGCCGCTGGAAATAGGCTCTTGGTGAACCCACCAGAATCGATGGGAATATGATGGGAATATTATGGCTGGTTGGTGGTATACCTACCCCTCTGAAAAATGATGGATTTCGTCAGTTGGGATGATGATTCCCGACTGAATGGAAAAATAAAACATGTTTGAAACCACCAACCAAATGGGAATCTCCACATATAAAGATGGTGAAGATAGCGAAGAAACTTGATTCACTAGTCTTTGAAGATTTTGGGAACCTCATGACTCATGACATATCGCTGGAAATGGGGATTTTGAACCCAAACAAATGCTTTATCGAAAATCACCAACCATAAATGGGAATGTCATGAGATATAATGCGGATTTGTCCAGCAAAGAGTGGTGCCCCAAAGTTAGCCAAGTTGGTTTACAAGTAGGCTAACAACTATACATATATACATAATTATATACATATGGCTTTTGATAGTGCCCTCTCCCCGTTGTTTTTTTTAAATCAGTTGTGCAATGACGTTCGGCTCAAAATAGCGTTTCTTGCAGGATGGTGGCATGCCAGTTTCCAGCATGTCCTGCATTCATCTTCAACAACGTTTAGTAAAGAAAAAACCGTGACTTTCACAAGAGCTCAACCTTGGACCTGGTAGTCTCTTTTCATGCTGAAACCTCACCAGCGAAGTGTTTCAACATTCCATCATGTAAGGCAGCGAAATCAGAAAATCTCTGAAACCAGCAACACTTCAAGTGGCTTCATGTATATGTTTAGATATAGTTACAGTTACAGTTTTATATATATGTACGTATATTGTATATATATATGCATCATTCAATGTCAATCTCAGTAGCTCACGAGTTTCCAGGAAAATCTCTGTCCATTCTGTATTCATAAACCAAGCAGCGAAAAGGCAAAACGGTGTGAAGGCCACATAGAGGCCAAAGACCAAGCCATAACCCAACAGTCTCTTGCCTCAGTCATTCCCATCAAATCTGCTGGGCACCACTTCACTTTTTAAGCATCTAATATGATGAGTCAACTGTTGATGATTCATTTTATATATAGATGATCTCTAAATTATATACTATATAATAATATATAATGATATATGATATATATATATAATGATATATATGCTATTTAAGTATTGATGATCCATTTTAGACTAGAGTACTGTATATGACCGTAAGCTACTGACATGTTTGGACATGACCTGACCCATTCCCATGGATGAACCACCAGAACATCAGGACTCTAAGGAACCAGAATGGGAGGATCGAAAATACAAATGAAATCAACAAAAATGACAAATCCATGTACCCTCTGGCAATTTAGCATGGCTATTGAAAATGGCTCATGTCATAGTTGATTTACCTATTAAAGATACTGATTTTCCATGGCTATGTAAATGTTTACCAGATGGTAAATCACAAACATTGTTGCCAGCAATCCTGGCAAACCTGCCACTGAAACTTTCCTTTGGTTCACTCTCTGGTAAACGTCTTTTTTCACCGATCACGAAGCTCAGCATGTCCAAATAGATATACATTCTCTTAGAAAGAAACAAACTGTCAGTGCGAATGCATTCGTGTTCCCTTTCAAGCTGTGCGCAACGTCAAGGAAATTAAGGGAAATCATCAGTTGGATTGCTGTCATTGCCACTCCCCTCCTGCCAAAACAAGTGGGCAACCACATATGGATATCTCCGGATCTCGGCAACATGCAACTCGTAAATTGCACCCATCCACCCAAAAAGCAGCTACTGCAGCAATGCCCCCAAAAGAGTACAGTTGGCAACTTCCATTTGAAGCGCTAGTCTCAAATATCAAATATCCCACCTAAAGATGATATCTAAAGTCTTTCTAAAGTTTTCTTGATTTGGATATTAGACATTGACCCGGCACAAGCCATCAACCATGCACCGGTTGGTCTACCAAGATCCTACATCTCTCAACCCCTTTCCCACGCTCAATCCTGTTCAGTGACCACTCCTCAAATCCACGTTCACCTTCATATCCGACCAAATCACAGCCTCAGCATCCACTACTGAATGGGCGGTACACAGAAAATCGTAATCTGGTTGGTGGTTTCAACCCCTCTGAAAAATATGAAAGTCAGTTGGGATGATTATTCCCAATATATGGAAAATAAAATTCATGATCCAAACCACCAACCAGTAGTAAATTGTTTGTCACCCAGGAACCTCAAATTCGCCCACATATAGCCCCCACCCAAAAGTAAACACCCCCGAATTTCACCATGGAAGCCATGGCCACCATAATCCAAGTTCGGAGAAACATGAAGCCCGCATAAGCCCGCCGTTTTTGAGGTTGCATGATGTTCCAACATTTTTTGGGGGGTTGTGTCAACATAACCCACATATGACTGTATATGTTCACATAACTGGGCGTCATGACCATCCAGCACCATGGCGATGTTGGGGGATTGAAGGTGCAGAAGGGAACCCAAAACAGCCATACGGTGCCGGATTGTTTGGCAATCTGGGAGTAGCAAATATTTTTCTAAATATATAACCTGCAATGTTGGATCAATGATTTTTTTTGGGCTCATATTTAATGTTGTAATATTGGAAAAATAGGAACGGATTCTGGTTTTTCCCAATCTTCCCAGCTCCAAGGGAGCATCGTTTCCCCAAGGTTTTTCCATAGATTTTCCCAGTTTCACGTCCTCTTCCCCCCAAAAAAGCTCACGTCCTCCCGCCCAGAGGCTGATGGAGGAGGTGGTTGCGTCACCTGCCACAAGGTGAGATCTTTGGAGAACCTGGCGATCTGGAGACGGGGGAACTGGGGATCTATGGGGATCTATGATATACCATCTATATATGGGGATCTATATATATATATATGGGTAATATGATGGTATACAATATATTATATGATCCCTATGGACATACTATATGATATATATATATATATAATGATATATAATGGTATATAATGATATATATATATAACATGTGGGGTAATATTATCATATTTATAAAGGGTATTATCTATGATCTATGGTATATAATAATGTATATGGGGATCTATGGTATATATAATATCTTATACAAAATGATCCCTATGGACATACTATATTACAATCCCTAATATATGATATATGATTTCCATATATATATATATATACATATGATATAATATAATGGAAACACCAAACGTTGTAGCGGGAAGACACGTCTTCCGGTCATGTTCAAGTAGGAATGCACCCCGGAAAACTGAAAAATCCAAACACACATGCCCAACACGAAAAGAATCTGGGAAAGCCGCTCTTGCTTCTAGTTTTCAAACCAACAGTCAGTGTTCATGACATGTCAAATGATGTACCAGGGTCTGTTATTGTCTCGAGATTCAAGCTGCCGTTCTTGGAGGAATGCCCTGAAGACTGGGGCGGAATTTACTTTGGGAAATGGCACCTTTTGGACTTCCATTTCCATCTTAACAGGACGATCAGCGGGGAAAGTGGTGTAAATTCAATTTCTTGTTGTCTCAAAGCCCATCTTGTGGCAATCGAAACACGCACCAGGAAGGCGGCTGCCAGGGTAAATGCTTTGGGTTATGAACATCAAATGGGGCTCCTTAGGTTTCCTTCATGAAAATCCTCGGGTCCAACTTTGAGGGTCACGCCATGGACAAAACGACCGTCACTGCAGAGAAAAAACATGTGGGATGATCCTGCAACTGGTGCAGTTCCAATTCATCAGTGGGGATATAGCCATAATGTGTTCGGGTTCGATCCCAACTTATGAATGTCAGACATCCACAGTTCCACCTGTTTGTAAACGAGCACTAGCCACTTACTTGTATAACCTTATGTGCCCAGGTGGCCATTTGTGGTGGGCAGGGTGAACCCCTGCAACAATCCCCAGCAACCAGTTAGATATATCTACCACAATTAAACCCAATCGTCAACCAGGTGAACTAAACGAACTTAGCAAACTAAACCCATGCATGCAACTCCATTCAACCCCCTTAAACCCCTCAAAAACACCATTAAAAAGCCATTTAAACACCTCATGGAAGTGGCACCGCCCCACCCCAACTCCCCAGTCACGGCCGGGGCACTTCACGTTGAGCGCCACCCGCGCGTCGCGCACATCTGAGAAGGTCACGAATCCGCTGTGACCGTTGACGCCGCCCACACCGGCATGGGCATCCTGCAGCGGGTTTTGAATGGGATTCGAATGGGTTTTGTCCTTGGGGAATTCTAAAGAATTTAACCATCAACAAATGGACGATTTTTTATGATTTAATGTGGGTAAAACAATGCCAACCACCCATGACTGGGAATGGTTGATACCATATCACCTATAAAAATTGTGATTTGGGGGATGCTTTATTATTGTTTTACCCACATTAAAATGAATGACAGGGTGATTTGAAACCAAACACCATGGTTTCGGGGTGTTTCTTTTAATTGATTTGAAGCTGACAAACATGTAAGATTTCAACTTGCAAGCAACAGTTGGGAGCATCGAAGCATGGGATTCAATCAACAAATGGGGATTTAGCACAAGACGCATTTAATCGGCAAACAAGCGGGATATATCCGGCAATCGGCACTCAAAATCACAAATATATTTTTTCCTACATATTCCATGGAACATGGGGGCTGAAACATTTGTTTGTTTCATTTGCATGCTTGATTGGCAAATGTTGGGGGATAACGCCACCCGTACATTGAACCAACAGTCACTCAGAGGGAATCTTGCAGGCTACTTTTTAGCTCCTAAGATGTTGTCGGAAAGAACGGTGTCATACTCAGTTGCTACGAATACATATGCTAATTACAACCAGCAAACATCTCAATAACAAACAAACATGAAAATTTGTGCTGTCAACTTCAATGAGTTATTCAAACATGACCTACCAAGAATGAGGCATCATCATGTTTGAACGATGAGTTTTACCTTGTTTATGCCAAACAACATGAAAACCAAACCTAACAAACACGATAGGTACAAGAACCACTATGACGAACAATACCTGCAGTGGGAATGCACTGCATGGGTCCTCCCAGGGTTTGGTTCCATTGCAGTGTTCTTTTTCATATTTGCTTACTAAGATATCCAGTTCCTAATTCCTGGTCAACCGTACATAAATACTCTGCAAAAACTCTTCAAGTGGCTGGCAAACAAATAAATATGCATGAATGCACACACATACACATGTATATATATATATACACATATGTATCACATATATGTATGTACATATGTATATAGATACATTATATTATATACATATATTTGCGTAAATATTAACTATTCGAATTGCTATGGCAAGGAATGAAACACACCAAAATTTCTTCCGGTTGAGCTAGGTGATCTTTCGCATTTCTGACTGCATCACACCTTGATAAAGTTCTCGCGGTACTCTTTGGCTTCCTTCCTGAGTGGTGAACGGAGCGAACGTTGGCATACTTTAGTTGGCTGGTGAAATGGGAGCATACATAAAAAAAGGGTATGAAAGACTATGGACAATCCCATACTTACCAGAAATGGGTTGTTTTTTTTTAACCATGCGCAGGTGGTGATTTATGACATTGTGTTCACCACATTGCATTAATTTCCCATCTATTACAATTGACCAATTAACCCGTGAGGTTCCTAAATATACATTTACCATATATAATATAATATAATATAATATAATATAATATATTATTACATCATATATGTATTTATATACATATATATATATATATATAGATATGTATATTGAATCTCTCCTCCCAAGTTCACTCCTTCAAGCTATGAGAGCCCAGGGACGTCTTCAGCTTCACCTGCTCCGACCAATGATCAATGGCATCTTCACCTCGACGTTGGGAAAGGCTGTTGTTGTTGTTGCTGGTTAAATCCCATCTGTTGTTGGTCAGAGACGTCATTAGTGCTGATTAATATCAATGTCTAAGTTTGAACTTTGCAGATACACATCACCAGTTGTCTTGGTACATAGCGTCTTGTTGGTTGGCAAACTCACATCGTGAGAGCAAGTATACTTGTTAGAGGAATGCAGACGTCCAACCCCTATTTGGCAGTGTCATGCAAGGTCTACGTGAATTTGCGGGGTGGTATAGTGGTATGTGTATGTGTTTGTTGAATTCTGAGATGTTTTCCCCCGGGTTGGGCGAGCTGATACTGAACTCTCAGCTCAACCCAGAGTTAATTCCGAGCCACTCTGACCCATGATGCTCTTGATCTTGGGCCTCGAATCCGCCTGGTCAGCATGGTCAGCATGGTCAAAGTGACTGGAAGGGAGGAATGGGACCCATGTCAGGCCCATGCATTCTCAATGCTGGAATGCAGTGTATTCCAGTTGTACCATGTGCTGGGATCATGATTGAGGTATTCACTATACAGTGTCCTTCCGACAAATGCAGCGGAGGTAACACAATTGCACATTTCAAATTTCTGACAGAATAACTGGTACAGAACCAGTTGGACAAAAACTGGTTTCATCTCGCTGAGGGAAACATGGCCGCGCCTCCTTACCGCTATTTTCCCACTCTTGCTCTGCCTGGCAGGACCCAGAAAGCGCCAGGACACCAAGTGTCTCTAATTGGGGTGCAAAACCCACAATTCGGTGAGCAACGAAAATGGTGGAAAAGGTCAAATGACAGGGATTCTGCCACGTTCCTCAATCGCACCATGGACAAGAGGAGCCTATTAGGATTTCGCCAGTCATGGGTTATACATGGGTACATGTTCTTCCCCACCTAACAGCCACGTTCAGTATCGTTCAGTCCTGTGAAGCTGCTAACTCATTGCCAGCTCTACCCACTATCATCGGTTGGATTCCCATTTGCAATTTCCGAAAACCCAACAACCACAGCAACAAAGCAATACATGAAGTGGTCTGGCTTGCTTCTAACACACCATCGACAATACCACCATCAATGGGTTGGTCAAAAATCATCCCCAAATGCGAGATGGTAGTTGCTTATTTGGGAATCCGTTGATCTCTAGTTCGAGGCCGAATTTAGTGAATAAGAGAAGAATTCAAACATGAACATGTTGACATATTTAGACAGAACATTGTTGAATTCAGTGAAACGAGATCCCTCTTCTATGGGATACAGCCACACATATCATCTGGGTGACATGAGAGATACAGCCATCTTCTAGCCGTTTTCAAAAGACAGCCACCAAAAGACAGCCAGTCCCAGCCATGATCCCAGCTCCAGGCCGTTGGCCTTTGCCAGGGCCATCATGGCGTCCTTCAACTCACTGTAGACGGACTCCAGTTGCACGATGTTCTTCGCTACATGTACCGCCTGCCCCCGATAAAAGGCGAAACACGGAGGTCAGTGGCAAAAAATGGTGGTTGAAATGGTTTCGGTTGATTTTAATTGGGGTTTAATGGGTTCTAAATAGGGGTTGAATGGGTTTGTATAAGTAACTAATGGGGTTTCAATATCTAATTCAATGCAGTTTCAATCAATTTGTTCAAAGGTAAATGTGTGGGTAAACTGTTGAAGCCCACACAGTAATATAAACCATAAACCTGATCATAAAGTTACTGCGGGTTGTTACTGGTAGGACAAAAAACGTCAGCTTACGCGTGTGTATTCACACCAGAAAACAAGGCCAGTCCTTCTGTAGAAAAATGTAGAACATATCCTCCATTTTTCCAATCATGCAATCATTCCATCCTCCATATCAACCCCACACCCAGCCTTCACAGCGTTTGGTTGGAACATACGGTTGAAGTACTCAGTCACCTGCGGCTGGAAGGCAACGTTCGAAGTCTAAGCAAAGAACACATCTCTGAGCCCTGCCTTAATCGCAAAAACAGGGAACAACAAAAACTAGAAATTCAGTGAAATCCACCCAACAAAATCCATTCAGCCCGGCGTTTTTGCATTTTTTGCCCGAAAAGTCATTGTCATTTCCAGTTTCCATGATCCTTTGAGATTCAACCTCCCACGTGTGCAGACCTTCTCATCCGACTGGTAGTCTTCAGGAATACCCTCCACCAAAACGGTGGCGGCCTGCACTCAGTCTGGGCTGTATGGTCAAAACGCGACGTTTTCAAAACACCAGCTACTTTGAGCCACTTGGGTTTGCCTGAAATATTTTGGCGAACCCCCTAAAATCAACTAAAATCATATATATTCCATGACTTTCCCATGTATATATACATGTATATATATATATACATATATATTATATAATAGTATATGAATATATATATATATATATATGTAAATGTAAAATTAATTGTCAAAAAACATATACATAAAATATTACATATATTATATTGTATTATATTTTATTATATTATACTAAATTATATTATGTATGGTATTATATTATATCAAAAAATATTATATTATATAATTATTGCATTATAATATACTGCAATAGATGATATTATACTATATTATATTATATATATATATCAAACAAATATAATATTATATTTTATTTTATTATACTGAATTAAATTATATTAAGTTATATTATATTAAATTAAAAGATATTCCATTTTATATTATATTACAATAAGTTTTATTAAATTGTATTAAATTATATGATTGTAAATTAAATAATGTTACATTGTATTATATCTTATTTTATTTGATTTTGTTTTAGACTATTATATTTTGTTATATTATAAACAATTATATTAAAATTATATTGTATTATATTATATTATATTTAAAAAAATAATATATTTTAAAAATCATATATATATATATTATAAATTACAATATATTACAATATATATTATATACTAGGTATTCAATGTTTTACTATAAATTATGTTGTATATTTTATTTATATAGTATATTCTATATATTTTATTTAAATAGTATATTCTATATATTATATTCTATATATTATACAATATATAGTAAAACATATACTATATATACTATATTTTGCATTTATAAATGAATATATATATATATATATAGATAGATAGAATTGCACTTATGTTTGATAATTATCATACATATACAAAGTCATGTGACTTTTCAATGCTTTTCAGCTTGTGGGAACCGCAGCCTGTGGATTCTTCAGCTGTTTCATCCAAATAAAACCTGTGGCGCAGCAGGGAGTCAAGGGATTTTTGTTCAGGAAACCATTTGTTTTTTACCGTTAAACATGATTTATCTTTCTTAAACTATGGGATTTTCCCTGGATTTCCTCTAAATGTTCAAACTGATCCAAGTCTGGGATATCAATATCAATCTAAGGATTCAAGTGTCTTCTGAGCCAGCATTTGGACTTGGATGCGAAGAGAGTAGATACCTTTACAATAGTTTGATAGTTGCAAAAAAATATGTTATTTGTTCTAGTCGTGCAAGTATCATGGTGATCGTGTTACCATGTGTTACCCATCCTCAAATATTCTTGTCCAGGTAGTGATGCCCGGAAAATCGGAGTACCCTCTAGTAACTAACACAGCTATGGAAATCCGTGGGGTTCTCTGGGATAATAATCTACAAATGGATTTGTTCCATATCTATATTCATATCTGGTTGGTGGTTTCAACCCGTCTGAAAAATATGAAAGTCAGTTGGGATGATTATTCCCAATATATGGAAAAATAAAAAATGTTCCAAACCACCAATCAGATATTGGTTTACTGGAGGGTAAGAGATGTCGTCTGGAGGAAAGCAAGTGGAATCCCTAGTGAAGAAGGCAGGCAACATGCCTGCACCAAAATTAGAAAAAGAGGGCATATTGGTTGAAATCTGCGAGCTGAATGACATGTGGGTTCCAATGGGTTCACAATTTGGCTGATCATGTTTTTACACACGATATCATCGTCACATTTTTCAATAACCGAGTCTTGTTTTCTTGATACAACCCCAACATACCCCAACTATATACTGAGTGATGATAAATAATGCGGTTTCAATCGCATCCAAATGAACACAAAAATCAAGTAACATCAAAAACATGTTGTGCCATCCAAATACTGTATACGGCATAATTCTGAATATACCTGGGGAACACAAATTGACCAATACGAATCATGCTATGAAATTATCGCCCTCTGCAAATGGGGTCCCTATCGTGTCCCTATCTGTCCCTATCTGTCGCTATCATGGACCATCACAACATCATCCAGTGGGACTCAAACGAAGTGATTTGTGATGATTTGTTATGATTGGTGGCTCTTTTGAGGTCAAGTGCCAAGACTCTTGCCACCGTGCATAGACCAGAAATGACCAGAAGCCAGAGAGGAAGCTATCTTATATAATTACTGTAGAATGCAACAACTGGTCAATCAACCCAGTGTTGAAATCTATGATCTTTCCCCAGTGTAGTGGATGATCGATGATTATCGATGCAAAGTCAGACCTCACCATGGAAACCATGATCAACGTAGGCAAATTGTAAAATGCTAGACTTACACGTTCCATTTCTGGTCCCCAGAAGCATAAACATGTTTCAGCAGAGTAGTTCCAATATTCACATTCTTTGGTTGAAATTCCAACCATTCATCTGCTAGTCACTGCTAGTAAGGTGGAGCATGCTTTGATCTGAGCGACATATAGCGACTGACGGCCACAACTGTCGATTTAAAACACGCCCAAAAACGTGACTCGCAGTACTTGCGCATGGATGCGAAGGTTTCCTTGCGCACCACCCACACCACCTGCCGAGGCTGGATTCCGCCAAGGCAGGAAACAATGGTGGTTTTTTGGGTGGAATATGGTGGAATAAGAAAATTGCCAAGTTTGAAGAATTGCTTGTCTTACTTGGATTTCTGGAACTTATCCCTGCCAAAACTGGTAGTAATCATCACCCAAAACAAGTTTAAGATTGAAACTGTGTATATCTGTGCATTTTTTAGGCCTGCAATTCCGGCTGGTTTATGAGGGGCTATGATGGGCTGGGACTAATTTAAGGGGCCAGTCAAGTAGAATATCTCAGCAACAAACTACGATAGGGTTTAATAATTGTGGATGCAGTTTGCAGTGGCAAACGGAGAGTTTTTTCTCCAGAGCAGTGTTCGCACTGCGTGGTATGAACATCTTTATCAACCAATGGATGGCAACCCCCTTAGCAATTTTCGAAAGAAAAACAGCTACAGAACGAAAAACGAACCAACATCACAATGCATGTGGCATGAGTTCAAACAAACCGTCAAACACAGCACTCTTGGAAATCCTGGAGCCCCAGCAATGGACAGTAACACAATTCCGAAGGACGGAAACATTTGGCCTACATGGATCTTCATGCGGATTTGTCTTTAAACATGTTCGCTGCAACCCTGCCGTTGCTCCGCGTGTGACTTCAGGTGGCCATGAAGATAAAGTTGATGTTATTACCCCAACCAAAATATTGCTCATAGGGGGTGGCGAATTTTGATCCCTCATGCAGATAAAGTTGATGTTATTACCCCAATCAACATATTGTTCATAGGGGGTGGCAAATTTTGATCCCTTATGAAGATAAAGATGATGTTATTACCCCAATCAACATATTGCTCATAGGGGGTGGAAAAAATGATCCCTCATGGAGACATAGTTGATGTTATTACCCCAATCAACATATTGTTCAGAGGGCGTGACAAATTTTGACCCCTCATGGAGATAAAAATGATGATTATGATGGTGGTGATGATGATGATGATGGTCATGACGATTGTAAGTGTGGAGCAACGCCCGGGTTGGGGCGAACATGTTTAAACAAGGCACCACAACATTTCATGGTCGGTTAATGCTTGTTGTTTCACCTCATTTTCCCCTTCAACATGGCTATTCCATGGCAGCTCCGGATGCCAAGGCAGCCGAGGAGCCAGGATGCTGATGAGGCCATAGAAGTAGTAGAGCCACGGGTGGCTGTAAGCCACCTCAAAAGTGGACTGTCGACCTTTAGGGCTTTTCGGATGATCAAAATAGCTGGAAAGTGAACGTTATTGAATGCTAATTCTAATCCAATCCCCTTTCTGTCGGTCTTGGTGTCACCCATTTTCAGAAAACCCACCATGTTTCGAGTGCAAAAAATGATCATCAGGGTAAAATTGATAACAAATCTGGCAACTATGGGATAGTTACATTTGATTTTGGAATTGATCATATATATATGTATATGTATGCGTATGTGTATATATATATATATATATGTATGTATATGTATATGTATGTGTATGTGTATATATAAATATATATGTATGTATATATGTATATGTATATGTATGTGCATATATATATATATGTGCATGTACGTGTATAATGTGTATATATACATATATATATATATACATATTCAATATTCCCTGCATTTGTCTACGATAAGAAGATCTAACTAGTCTAACTAACCAGTCTATGTAATATTTTATGCTTATGAACATATCATGGGAACCATGGTGAATCTTCCCATATTTCACAGCCTGAAATCCGCCAACATCCCAGGTGCGTTGCCCATGGCGATACGACTGAGGTTGTCCCCCGTCTTCTCGGCGTCTCCATGACCGAAGAAGAAGTTCAGGGGGCTCATAATCAGCAGCCTACCCAGGGGACCAGGGAACCCCAGGGGACCCCAAGGGGTGCCCAACGGGGGGTGGGTTTTCCACAAGAAACCTGGTGGGATGATCCAGGATTTTTTGTAGCTGAGGCAACAACCTGGCAACAAGGGTCCTGTTACCACAGGGTGTGACAAAAATGACACAGGTCGACTTGAAACCAACCAAACAACAAAAATAATAATAAAAAAAACATGTCTTTGGGGTTGGTCGAGTGGGAGCCCTGCGAAATTATTGCGATCCGAAAGGCATTGGAAGGCCAATGGTCATCAAAATCCGTTTGCCTTGCACAACCCAATCGGGCAACATCGGGCAACCAGAACAGCTCTAGGCTGACTGATGCTGGATGAAGACAACGTTGGATAACGGGGGATGTGTGAAAACACTGCAAATTTCATCAAATTTCCACGTCACAAAGGGCTTCCTGTGGTGAGAAACACGCACAGCAATCATACGGAGCGCATGAAGGGGAGATGGAACTGAGTGACTTGATGGTAAAAATTGTAAAACTTGCCACTTCATAGCTACTGTTACCCCTTTCCGGTTGAGGGTTGGTGAGGGTTGGCCCAAGTTGGCCCCCTTCGAAGTCATTCACCGAGCTGCACATCATGGTGAACTCCAGGAGCATGGCATGGTCCAGGCCACAGTATTTGCGGTGCTCCTGGTGGGGTTTCGGCTTATCCATTGTGGTAAATATATGGTAAATATATGGTTTTGGGGGGGTTTTACTAAAATTAAAAATCAAATGTCATCTGGTTGGTGGTTTGAACCCCTCTGAAAAATCTGAGTAGGTCAGTTGGGGTGATTATTCCCAATATATGGAAAAATCAAAAATGTTCCCACCAACCAGAAATCACCATGGTTTATCTCACTGCATAGAGTAACCATAAGACCCATAAATGCATGTTTAGCACCGTCGCACCTCATGAACCTTCTTCAGTGAGAGCCGTGTCCACGACGTCCAGTCGTCTCCGGGACTGTCGGGCACCACACCATTGATGCTGTTGTAGTAAAATATCTTGGGATACCTGCCATGGCATGATCAAAACCAGCAAACCTGCTGTTCACCGCGAAAATGACATGGTGATTGTTGAGAATGACATGGGGATGTTTAGCAGCAAAAAAAACAGGTTTTAATGAGATTTGATGACGATTAATGGTATCAAAGTGGAAGTCAACATCTCCAGTTGGGAAAACCCCCATGGAACATCTGGGAAATCTGTAAGAATGGGGGCTCAAGCATCAAACATGGGATGACTGTGGGCTTGTGGGGTGCTCGATTCTACGCACAAATAAATACTGTGATATGACTATGCATTCATGATAGTAAATCATAGATAGTATATCATATATAATGAATATATTTCATATTTTAGAGATCATATGACTATACTATATGTGATATATACTATTCTAGCCGCAGGACAACCCAATGGCATTCCCTCCAACAATTCCGGTTTCATAAGCCTCTACTAGGGGATGGTGGTGGTTATATAAGAACCATTAAGACTAAGAACCCTCTTAACCAGGCTTTATGGTGGTCGGGAGTTGGCAGTGACATGGAGTGACCTCTTGACACCTTGAGTAACTTCAATGATAATATATATATATATAGTGACCGCCTGAAAGATAGAATATTGTACTCTTAGTCGGGACAAGATAGAATAACAAAAAACACAGGGTCTAGCACCCACAAGATAGAATATTCTGAAATTAAAATAATCAAAAAATATTCGATCTTTCAGCCGGTCAATATATATATATATAGAGAGAGTAGTAAGTGTCCCAGCTCCCACTACCAAACTTAGATAATACCCTGCAAAATACGTTGTCTGGTCAGTAAATACCCTCAATTATAGCCAAAGGTCAGTCAGTACAAAACTTACTTATACTACTCATCCAGTCACCCTACTTCCAGACCCCTATTATTCATTTTTCTCTATTTTTCATCATGTTTCATTGTTTTTTCTCCCTCTGTTTCATCATTTTTCATTGTTGGTTTCTCTCTTTTTCAGCATTTTTCATTGTTTGTTCCTCTCTTGTTCATCATTTTTCATTGTTTTTTCCTCTATTGTTCATCATGTTTCCTTATTGTCCCCTATTTTTCATTTTCATTGTTGTTTCTCTATTTTTTCAAGGTTTTCATTTTTTTCTCTTTTTCATCATTGTTCATTGTTTTTTCTCTTGTTTTCATCATTTTTCATTGTTGGCTCTCTATTTTTCATCATTTTTCATTGTTTTTGTTTCTCTATTTTTTTTTTCATGTTTCATTGGTTTTTTTCTCTCTTTTTCATCATTTTTCATTGTTTTTTTTCACTCTTTTTCATCATGTTTTCTTGTTTTTTCTCTCTTGTTCATCATTTTTCATGTATTTTTCATAATTGTTCATTGTTTTTCTCTCTCGGCTTCATCATTCTTCATTGTTGTTTCCTCTCTTTTTCATCATTGTTCATTGTTGTTTCTCTTTTCATGATTTTTCATTGTTGTTTCTCTCTTTTTCATATGTTTTCATTGTTTTTTCCTTTCTTTTTCATAATTGTTCATTGTTTTTTCTTTTTCTTTCATAATTGTTCATTGGTGTTTCTCTATTTTTCATAATTGTTCATTGTTTTTTCTCTCTTGCTCATCATTTTTCATTGTGTTTTCTCTCTTGTTCATAATGTCTCATTTTTTTCACTTTGTTTCATCATTTGTTCTTGCTTTTTTCTCTCTTGTTCATCATGTTTCATCGTTTTTTCCTCTTGTGTTCATCATTTTTCATTTTTTTGTTCTTTTTTTCATCATTTTTCATTGTTGCTTCTCTATTTTTCATAAATTGTCATTGTTTGTTCTCTATTTTTCATCATGGTTCATTGTTTTTTCCTTTTTTTTCATCATGGTTCATTGTTTTTGTTTTATTTTTCAGTATTATTCATTGTTTTTTTCTATATTGTCATATTTTTTCCTTGTTTTTTCTCTTTTTCATCATGTTTCATTGTTTTTCAATGCTTTTTTCATGATAAGGCTCAAAAATACGAAAGCGGACAAGATAGAATATTTTCGAGACCCTGGAGTGACATGGCTCCCAATTATATATTTGGGAGCCTTCCATTGCGTGGATTTTTTTCCGTATGTTTCATTGTTTTTGTTGTATTTTTCATATGTTTGTTATTGGTTTTTACTATTTTTCAGTATTTTTCATTGTTTTTCAATTGTTTAGTGTTATGGGTTGAGCTTTGATAAGGCTCAAAAATATGAAAACGGACAAGATAGAATATTTTCGAGACCCTAGAGTGACATGGCTCCAAATTGCTTGGATTTTTTCCATTGTGTGTGTGGAAATGCTCTTGTGCTGATTTTCACAATACTTATGTGCATATATATATATATATATATGTATAGCGGTTGTATAGGTTTTATTGGGTTTAAGTCAGTTGGAGCCATGCCTACCCGCAATTCACACCTGTTGCCGGTCCACCGCGTGGTCGCACCTCACACCCTCAATTTGCGGTTTTAACGCAAAACGTGGTGGAAACAAGTCTGAATATTTTGGGATTTACGTAGCAAAAATTGTTGGTTTTATCTGATACGCCAGGAATATGAAAAATACAACAAAAACAATGAAACATACGGAAAAAAATCCACGCAATGGAAGGCTTCCAAATGTATATATATATATGATTTGGAGCAATGTCACGCCAGGGTCTCGAACATATTCTATCTTGTCCGTTTTCATATTTTTGAGCCTTATCAAAGCTCAAAGAATAAGATTAAACAATTGAAAAACAATGAACAACAATGAAAAATAATGAAAAATTGTGAAAACCAATGAAAAAATATGAAAAATACAAAAAAAACAATAAAACATACAGAAAAAAAATCCACCCAATGGAAGGCTGCCAAATATATAATTTGGAGCCATGTCACGCCAGGGTCTCGAAAATATTCTATCTTGTCCGTTTTCGTATTTTTGAGCCTTATCAAAGCTCAAAGGATAACATTTAAAATTAAAAAGAATTGAAAAACAAAACAATGAAAAATTATGAAAAAGATGAAAAAAATGAACAATTATGAACAGATAGAAAAAAAACAATAAAACAATAATGGCAATAGAAAAAAACAATCAAACATGATGAAACAGATAGAAAAAAAACAAGGACAAATGATGAACAAGAGAGAAAACACAATGAAAGAATAGGAAAAATAGAGAAAAAAACAATGAAAAATGATGAACAAGAGGGGAACAAACAATGAAAAATGCTGAAAAAGAGAGAAACCAACAATGAAAAATGATGAAGCAGAGGGAGAAAAAACAATGAAACATGATGAAAAAGAGAGAAACACCAATGAAAAATGATGAAAAATAGAGAAACAACAATGAACAATGATGAAAAAGAACGAAAAAAACAATGAAAAACAATGAAAAACAATGAAACATAGAGAAAAAACAAGGAAACAAAATGAAAAATAGAGGAAAAAACAATGAAACACGATGAACAAGAGAGAAAAAACAATGAAACATGATGAAAAAGAGAGAAACAACAATGAAAAATGATGAAAAATAGAGAAACAACAATGAAAAATGATGAAGAAGAAAGAAAAAACAATGAAAAACAATGACAAATAGGGGGAACAAACAAGGAAACATGATGAAAAATAGAGGAAAAACAATGAAACATGATGAACAAGAGAGAAACAAAACAAGAAAACAATGATGAAAAAGAGTGGAAAAAACAATGAAACATAATGAAAAAGAAAGAAAAGCCTAGGAAACATTATGAAAAATAGAGAAGCAACAATGAATAATGATGAAACATAGAGGAAAAACAATGAAAAATGATGAACACGAGAGGAAAAACATTGAAAACATATGAAAAATAGAGACAACAATGAAAAATGATGAAACATAGACAAAAAGACAATGAAAAATGATGAAACATAGGGAAAAAAACAAGGAAACATATTGAATAATAGAGGAAAAACAATGAAAAATGATGCACAAGAGAGAAACAAACAAGAAAAAATAATGAAAAATAGTGAAAAAAAACAATGAAACATGATGAAAAAGAGAGAACAAAACAATGAACAATGATGAACAAGATAGAAGCAACAATGAACAGAAAATTTTCCTCTCTTTTTCATCATTTTTCATTGTTGATTCTCTTTTTTTCCATCATTTTTCATTGTTGTTCTCTCTATTTTTCATCATGTTTCATTGTTGTTTCTTCTCTTTTTCATCATTCTTCATTGTTGTTTCTCTCTTGTTCATCATTGTTCATTGTTTTGTTCTCTCTTTTTCATCATGTTGCATTATTTTTTCACTCTTTTTCATTTTTTTTTCTTGTTTGTTTCTCTCTTGTGCATCATTGTTCATTGTTTTTCCTCTATTATCCAATATGTTTCCTTGTTTTTTCCCTCTTTTTCATCATTTTTCAATGTTTTTTCTCTCTTTTTCGTCATGGTTCATTGTTTGTTCTCTCTTTTCCATCATTTTTCAGTGTGGTTTTCCCTTTTTCATCATGTTTCATTGTTTGTTCTCTCTTTTTCATCATGTTTCCTTGTTTTTTTCTCTCTTGTTCATCATTGTTCATTGTTTTTTTCTCTCTTGTTCATCATTTTTCATTGTTTTTTTCTATGTTTCATTAATTTTCATTGTTTTTCAGTGCTTTTCAATTGTTTTTCAGTGCTTTTCAATTGTTTAATGTTATTCTTTGGGCTTTGATAAGGGTCAAAGATACGAAAACGGACAAGATACGAGACCCTGGCGTGACATGGCTCCAAATTAAATATTTGGAAGCATTCCATTGCGTGGAAATGCTTGCGTGTTGATTTCCAAGATATGTGTATATATATATAAATATTATATAGAGAGATATAGATATATAACCGTGGCAGGAGGGAGTTCACTTGGCATGTTGACTTAGCGTCCTGTTGCTTCAAAAATCATCAGTAGTTTTCTGCACAGGCATGCACGAAATTGACAAGATAGAATATTCAAGGGGGTGTTCCCATATTGGAACATGTTGGATTCAGAATTGTTGGCAATCCCAAAGCGGAATTTGTTTAACATCATTTCACAGTAGCACCCTGTTGCTTCAAAAAATCATCAGTAGTTTCAACGTTTTCTGCACAGGCATGCACGAAATTGACAAGATAGAATATGATAGAATATTCAAGGGGGTGTTCTGTGAATTTTTGTGAATATTCTATATTAATATTCTATCTTGTGGTGTTTTTTCCGAGTGGGAGGCCGATGGTAATTTTCTCACTCGCGTGTCTGGTAGTGAAAAATATTCTATCTTTCAGGCGGTCACTATATATATATATACATAGTGGCATAGCGGCGTCATCCAACTCTCAGATACTCTCCGACCATGTCACCCACGGCCACGGTTTTCAAGCCCGGCACCTGCTCTTTAAAACCACGAAGCCCACCATACACGCCAAAATCATCGCAGTGTTGGTCCTGCCAGGCACTAAGGAAGCGTGCTGGGATGACTCACCGTACGAATACCCAAACGCACACACACACATAAAAAAAGAAATGCAAAGAACACATTGAGAATACATGTCAACTCAGTTTTTCGATGTTTTGAAGGGCAAAACATTGACCAACCAATGCAAACAAAGCTGCGAACCATAATTTGCCCAAATAAGATGCACGCCAGGGTCAAACTCTGCGGGTAATCATGGCAACATGGCAAGAATGTAACGGTTACGGGCAAACCATGAGGTTCCCCGCAATTGCGCAAAGATCTCGCACGTTCAGGCGTTCCGAACTGTACCATGCCCCTGAAACGTCGTTGGTACATCAACCTCATGCAAATACATGAGCTCATCTGAGCACTTTTCTTCTAAAATCAGGACAGCCCATCTAATGTGTATTGTGTGTCGCAGGAAAATATATGCTCTTCTGTGGGTGTCCCTTTCCCTTTGCCCTCAACCAAACAGCCCATTGAAGAACACTACCATTCATTCGCTCATCCATCTGAGAGAAAACATATGCCATACGAAACCGTACTTGGCAACTTGGCAACATACATTTTAGCTTTTGAACCAACCAGTTTCTTCTTGAGGCTCTGACTCAAATATCTGAACTTCAAACGCGCATCGAATGTTGGTGATGTTTGGTGTCTGGTACTGAACCTCATATTCCCCGCTTTTTAGCATCCATAGTCCGTAGGAAACTTAACGCAACCTGATCAGCACAGGCTGGACAATCAACCCCAAAAAAGTCTTCCAGTTTGCCCACATACCCACACACTTGTTATCATGTATTTATATATGCACTTACTCCGATGATATATCTACAAATGTAAAACATATCAAATCATATCGTATCATATCATATCATATCATCCAAATACATCAGTGAATTGAAATAAGTATATATAAGCAAATATATATATATAAAGATCTATGTGTATACATATATATATACATGTGAGTACATATCCCCATATATATATTATAGCTATAAATAAGATATGTAAGAACAAATGTATACATATGGTTATATATTATATTCTATGGATTCTATGCATTCAGAACACTTTTCGACCTTCCGGGCTTCAGATCAGCTACCAACTCGAACCCCACGACCCCAGCGACGCGGCGGTCATGAGACCCGTGAGGAACGTCTCGAGATCGCCCGCACCGTTGGTCTCCACTCCCGAGACCGCGGCCGCAGTCGAGTTCGGTTCCTCGCAGGATGAGACCCGGGCGAAGCCCGGGCAAAGCCGTGGATTTTCAGCAGGATGGTCGTCAAACACATTAAACACCACCAACAATCTTGCCCAACTTGGCAATAAGATACTAAACATACTAAAGATTGGTACCAAAAAGATCCAAAAAGTATGTTTCAAACATGATTCTACATTTTCCATTTCTATCACTTAATTTGGAGAATCCATCAACCAGTAAACAGCATAACAAAACAACGACCAAGCTCCAAAGCTCTGCGCCTGGGATGCATGGGCCTTGCCATCGAGGGAGAGATTCACATTCACCGCAGTCTGTAAAAAGCCCACGTTCATCTCCTGCCGTCTCCCAGGGCCCCAGTCGGTCGACAACAGGATTCCGACACACACAATGTGATATATCTATACGCACCCATCCATCAATGTGTATAAATATATATATATATATATGTGTGTGTAACATTGTAAATATATGCATATGCTTTCATGAGAGTTCTTGAGAGGGAACAACCATAGAACTGCATGGACAGAGAAAACATATCAACAGTTCTGAGCAGCAGACTGGTGGGTGATGTTGATTCGATCATATTTTTGTCCATTTGGGGCCTGCCAAGCAGTAATTTTGGTGAATCGGTTCTTCAAACGTTTGCTACCCTGGCCCTGAGAAATGGGAACAATGCAATGCAAAATTCCACGGTAGCCATTGAGTCGATTCCTCAACCCTTGCCCAATTGAACAAAATCGAAGAAGTTCTACCTGGGTTTCTCTACATAACCAGGTACCCAACAAATCCCAATGTTGATCATAGATTTCCTTCTGAAAAATTGTTATGAATTGGGAGTCCATACCGCAGCTTTTGACAGGTTCCTGTCACCGGTCTCCTCCTCAACTACACATTGGGCTGGTGCTTGGCGCATGTACAGCGCCAGTAGCCCACAGATTGAGAAGCGCATTATGGACATGATTCCTTAGAAGGTGGAAGATGGTGCCCCCTAGATGTACAAATAGTACAATGATGTAAACACATATACACATATATACATGTTCAGTATCTCTCTATATATATATATATACGTGTGTGTATTTGTGATATATATAAAATGCACATCTACAAATCTATGTATATTATACATATATATATATATATACATATATATACATATATATATGTATATATATATATATAAGTTAATATGCATATATATATATACACACTGTGCATATATATATATATATATGTACATCTATATAATCACATGTATAATATGCAAAACTTGGTCTGGTTGGGTCTGCTCACCTAAGTCACTAATCCTATATCATTCTCATCACCAACTCACCCTGCTTCACCGCCTTCATCACCTACTGAGTGTTGGCTTCAGAAATACCACTTAGTGAAGCACCTAATTGCGCATCAACCATCCATTTTTAAGGATCTATATTCCGATCACCATTTGTGGGCATAATATTCTTAAATGATTGTTGATGCTTAGGTAGCCATTTCCAATGATTGCATAATCAGCCACCAACAAAGAACAACTGGGTATTACCCCGTTGCTTTTTGTATAGCTGCACCACACAGGTCTGCTGCAAACTGATTGATGTTCTGATGGTCATTATCAGGAAAACCTCGCACTTTCAAGTCAGAAATGAAATGTGTGTAGAATCCACCAGCCCGCTGCTTTAATGAAATCACACATGGAATTGCACAGGATCAACTTGAATGGTGAAACAGCAACATGATCATGAAATAAAATGGGGTTTGACTGGAAATAGGGTACCATAAATGTTTATTGCCTGCCCTAATTTTCCCTATCAACATTGCCATTCTGGCAGGTACCCAATTTCCAGAAACACACACATAGTTTCTGGAATGTTGGCCTCTTTTTAGGTGACAAAAGACCGAAAGACCACATTTTCTTATGTGGCCAGAGTAGAATGTGATGCCCAGTAAAGAGGTATCTCTCCCAGGGTTTCAACTAGAAATACAGTGTCAGGAGATCAGCCCCATCTTCCGTGTACAGAGTGTGAACATGAAGCATGACAACATGCACACAAACAGACACGCACACATAAGCTGGGTCCCATATGTGCGTTTTATGTAGTGTGATCCATATATCAATCTAGCTGTTCATCTGTCTGATCGATAGGTTACCATGCCACAGCCCAAGATTTCAGGACGACCTTCAGGGTCTACATATAATGTACCTACATGCAATATATATATATATATATATACACATTATGTATGCATATTATACATATATAGTTACATATGCCCTATGGATCATTCTGGATCATTCTGGATCCAATATGTTCCAACCCGGATTGTACCCCACCAAACGCTCCCTCAGAAAGGTACTTCCATCCATATGTATAATGTATATATATATATAGAATGTGCGTATATACTGCGTCTATATGTATGTGAAACAGTTAAACATGATTAATTTTGTGGATCAACTGGTAATTAACATCCATTTTTGAGCCATAGCCAACTTACCCCTTGCGCTGTGCCCAGGATCGATATGTGAACCGAAGCCGGCGAGGGGTTAGACGCCCTTCAGGTTTGAGCAACACATGGTGATGCGGTTGTAGCGCGACAGCTGCGGGGCAACGTCTCGAAACCAAATCTTTTTCTGATCGCTTATACCCAGTATAACTATGTATCTCCCGGGTTTATGGATGTTTATGGACCGGGAGTTTATGGTATTTAAAACTCGTATATAACTAGGGGTTGTGGATGTTTACCAGGTTTTGTCAACTTAGCCAACTCCGGAGCACCACCTACCTTGGAAGATCTCACTTTGTGGTGATCAAGTGGGGCCTTTCATGTTACCAGTATGGGATAAGCGGCTCAAGGCTCAAACCCTGCTGGCCGGCAATTAGCCAGCTGGCCACCTTCCCAAAAAACATCTCCGGAAATATTAGATTGATGTTAGATTGATGTTAGATTGATCTCCCATTGGGCTGGTGAAATTGTAGCTTGCGGTAAGCTCGGAATACAGCGCTTGGTGAAGATCTTCACAGAAGTTGCTCCACAATGGTCCCTATTGGCCCCCGGCTACTCATACGCGATCCAAGCATCGTTAACAAAATGGCCCACCTATGCCGTAGCTATTAATGTTGGTTTGCTGGAGGTAGTTCAATCTCATTTCTCATTAACTTGAGTTTTGGGCGCGGATAAGACCCACTTGTTCCGCACTTGCCAAGATTCTTGCCATCTGAAGTTTTACTAGGACTTTGGGAGCAACAGTTCCACTAAAGTCAATAAGTGGGTCATATACCCTCTGGTAAACTAACATAACTATAGAAAATCACCATTTTTAGTGGGACAACTCACTATAAATGGCCATTTTCAATAGCTATGTTAATTTACCAGAGGGTAACCGTAAGTTGTAGAGGTTCTATCCCAACTCATGGAAATTGTTACGACAATCTATTCCCCCAGGTGCTTCCCCCAAGTAGAACTGCAACAAACAGCCTCCAAATAAAGGCCCTGGGCCCTGATTGCACGGGCTCCATACATTGATCCTGCAACTCCGAAGTTGGCAAGGCCTCAGTCAGCTCATCTCCATTTTGCCAGTTTAATTAATCTCCGGAAAAAAAAACGCGCATCTTTGGTTGTGAGATTCACACTTTGACCAACCAATCGATATTTGTTGTGGGTCCATCCACGTCTTTGTGCTGGTATGTCCGTTATGGAATCTGCAATTCTTGGATGTTTAAATCACATTAAAGTCCCCCACGTTGTTAGTAGTTAAATTAAAATTAAACCATGTTAAACCTCAATTTTCACCACAGCCCGTACTCCTTTTTGTGTTTCTGCTGCCCTGCACATCGCTGCGCCAAAAGGAAACGGGGCTACATCACTGGCGCCGTGCGACCGCGTCTCAGGCGGCTCTTTGATTGGACTAAAGTCCTGAGCTGCTAACATGAATGATGGTATGGTTCTGGGTAAATTAAAGTGTTTCTGTTTCACTAACCTGAAATAAGGCTATTTGAATGCTATTTGGATGGTTCCCCTCACTAACCATGATTCCAGCGAGGGAGAACGGTGTGGTCGTTCTAATTTACCAAGATGGTTGATGGTTCAATGGATGGTTTATGGTTGGTAAATAGATAACGGTTTTTCATGTTGGTTGATGGTTAGTAATGGTTCATTTTTATTGATTTGTTTTTCTGGTTTTTGGTTTCTAACAAAAACATGTTGATGGTGATCAAACAAATCACCAAACTCTTGTTGCGTGTGAAGGTCCTGTTGTTAAAACGATTGCAAATCGGCAGCATGCTGCATGCTTGTCAACATTGAGATCTTTTTTGTGACCCCCAAGTCCCAAGTATGAAGAAATTTGAATCTGGACAACACACAACAAGATACCCTCTGGTTATTTAACATAGCCATGGAAAATCATCATTCTTAATAGGTAAACCATCTATTTCTATGGGCCATCTATACCATGGCAAACTGTTAAATAACCATGGGCACAACAAGTTCCAAGCGTGATATGTTGCTCCATCGTTTCGACGAGCCTCCTGTGTGTTTCGACGTGCTTTTCCGGGATATCATGGGATGAGGCCGTCATAACAACAGTTATATTAAGTTATATATCATAATAGCAACAGCCATAGTACATGATTATACTGTATAATAGTGATGCAACATGGAAAATGAAATATAAAAGTATATACTGTAATCAAAGACAAGCTTGTTATTATTGTTTTGGCTGAACTTCTCTATAACTATACATAAAACGGCGAAAATGGCAGTATCACCAGATTTTGGGACATCAACCCCCTAGCAGTCCGTTGCCAAGCCGCATGCGTGGGCGGAAGGACTCCCCAGGTTCGGCCAGCATACCACCGGTGGGAGATCTCAGCGATGGCTCATGTGGGGTGTCTGAGGAGGAACAAAAAAGGCGTATACTGTACCTCAAAAATGGGATGTGAATGGGAAAATCATGGGAATAGAGTGGGAATATACATATCATATCTATGATATGTGGTGCCCCCTACTTAGAAAAGTTGGTTTACAATTAGGAAGACTAGGATTCTTGCATCGAAGGTCAAAGGGGTCTATACACAAACCGGTGGAAGGCACCACGTTAGGGAACCTGATGATTTACCAGTGGATTTAGGAGCAGACTATTTTCAGAGAAAATTGGGTACCCAAAAAATGTCGATGGTTATCCACTATAAATGGGCAATTTTCAATAGCTATGTTTGACATAACCAGAGGGTAACTGTTGATAAATCTTCCACTCACCAAGGTTTTTGAACATCAGCTTGCATTTTTGCAATTGAAGTTGTACAGCTGCTGGTCGTACAGCCTCCAAGGTGTCTGCATTCTCTGTCGCAATTCCTCCTGGCTGATGTTCTGGGTCTGTTGGCAAACTCGCTCTCTCAGCCCAACCCTGTTTGAAGCTTGAGAGTTTCTTTCCGATTCCGACGCTGTTTCTTGTTGCTCTGCAACGTTGCAAGTTTCTCATGCCTTCAGCTCCTGCGCCTACTTTCTCTGGTGCTCAACTTTCTCTGTCTACTCTATGGCCTGCGCCAACCTGTGTTCATAGTCTCTGACCATGTCAAGCTGAGTAGATGTTGCTGGCTTTATTTCAGCCAAACGACTCGGCATCTGTCTGCTCGGCCTAACTGTTTGCTCTGCCCGGGGGCTTTGGATCCAAGAAATGCGTCCACTGGTTTAAAACCATATTTTCCGGATGAGCAATCAGCCACTACTATGTCATGTGCTATTATCATTTTGGGGATAAATTCCCCATATTCTAAGAACTATATCTCCCCAATGGTGGTTTTTGGGGATCCGGGGGGGCCCCCGTATCGCAAACATCCCATGACTAACCATTATTCATCACTATGACCCTCTGTTAAACTAACATAACTATGGAAAATCACCATTTTTAATGGGACAATCAACTATAAATGGCAATTTTCAATAGCTTTTAGTTAGTTTACCAGAGGGTAACCATAGTAAATCCGCCATGTTCATCCAACCCTTCCCCCTTCCCCAACTGGGCACCATTGGGCACCGCCGAGCCGCTGAAAGGCTGGGATGGGAAACAGCAGCCCCGGCAGGGGCTTCACGGGCTGCTCCTTCACGTCGGGAACCACCGGGGCGGACTCGGCAGACGCGACGGGCACCGCTGGATGATGACCATGGGTGCATCCAGAATGAGGGGAAAACCGTGGAAAACCATGGGAAAATCAAGATGGAACACAAACATGTCATTAGATTTCATGAATATTATATATTAGTATTTTTGTCCCTTGTCACTGTTGTTATGATCAAATTAACCTTTTTCTTTGCCCAACAACGCAATGCACTATAGGGATATTTGCAGATGGGTCTCTCAACTATCGCTGGAATCAAGACCAACAGAAATAGACATGTGTACCTTGAAGGGGAACAACAAACACCAAAACATATGGTTCCACCCTGAGACATCACGAGGTGAGAATGAAACAAACATCAATGCGACTCTGATACTAATAGCTATCTCAATCCTCAAGGCCATTATTGTTGAGTTCGATCTGGGTTTTCTGCAAATAAGTCACGTACCAATGTCCTCAGTATCAACCTCATTATACAACAAATGTCCACATATGGTGTATCATGTCCTCCCGCCTCCCTGCGCTGAAAATTGATCGAACTTGTGAACCTAGCAGGGACCAGCCTTGCTACCCATAATCATCATACCCCCCAAAATATCCTTTGGTAATCAAACATGGCAATGGGAAATGCTCTGTACGACATGGAGATTTTGATGTGAAGATCATCTATATTATATAGTGATATATAGTGTAAATGGTGGATAGGTCAACGATGGGTTATTTTTGCTGTGATCCACCAGAATATCAAAATCCTTTGTTGGTAAAATTCTCAGATCATTTTGGTCAAAAACACTTCGTTGGTTCTCTTTTGATCGATACCCTCTGGTAAACTAACATATAACTATGGCAAATAACCATTTTTAATGGGTAATTCCACTATACATGGCAATTTTCAATAGCTATGTTAGTTTACCGGAGGGTATGTCCCACTTGTCAATCAGGAACAAAAAAGATGGACCATCTCCAAGCAAAATACAACTGTGATCAAAACTATGGATGGAAGAAATCCTACACCACCTTGGATGGTTGAAACCCTAGACAAAATGGGATAAACCATCTATTAACTGGTGCAAGATTTCGCAACCATCCACAGTATTTCTTGGCATTTCCCACATTTTATCCCAAGCACCCAAAAAGGTGGTGCTCCCTATAGCTATATTGGTTTATCTATCCTTCTAACCATAAATTTGTCACCACAACAAAACCAACAGTTAATCTAGTTGCACATCAACTTTAGCTTACTCATGTTGTTGTTGCTGCTGAATATGCAACCAAAATATCACCAATTGTATCAGAACTTTTTTTATATGTTGCTTCTATTTTTTGCTGGTTGGTGGTTTCAACCCTTCTGAAAAATATTAGTCAATGGGAAGGATTATCCCATATATTATGGAAGGTAAAAAATGTTCCAAACCACCAACCAGTTTGTCTCCATGAGTTTACCATAGCTGGCTTGCTTCCCTGTGAAAACTCCCAGCAATTGCTGGTTTCCAAATAAGAGCCTCATGAAACCACCAATGGTCATAGCTCACCGTCTTCACCTATACACCCGAAGTAAAACCATACTTAACCTAGAAAAAAACTAGTTCATCCAATAAAAAAACTACTGTAATTAGATCTAATTAGTTAATCCAATGTTAATCCATTTACCATCTGGTTATTTAACATAGCCATGGTATAGATGACCCATTTAATTACAGATGGTTTACCTATTATAAATTGTGATTTTCCATGGAAATTCCCATCGAAAACTCGCATTTCTCAACCCACACCGCATCCGCCAGGCATCTGCCGGGCGTTTCATGGCCACATCCACCGCCTTCAACGCCTCCGGTGCAGCGAAGCCGGCCGCCCGCGCAGCCGCCTGTGCGGCGGCCAGGTAGTCCTGCCAAAATTCATGGTAGTCCTGATGGTTATTGATGGTTCATATGGATTCATAGTGGTTAATAGTGAATAATAGTGGTTAATGATGGTTAATTAATGATGGTTGATGATTGTTGATGATGGTAAATTATCTGGTCATCATGATGGTTTATGATATGATTATGATGGCTTCCTCCTCTCCATCGCCATCCCAAAGGTCCTTTTGAAGAATATTGACTCGTGTGCTTCCCCTTGGGAGATTTCGTATAATGTAGATGGAATGCACTGCCAATCTTTGATACGTTGCCTTTTTACCAGCTATTATCCAAGGATTACCCAGAAAGGGGAGAGGTGGAAAAAGTGGGGGTTATATGTTTAGTGATTTGAATAACATCTATTACAGGATCTGGTCTTTCTTCCCTGACCATATACACTATGGAGAATTTCCTGCAAATCGCACCTTCAACCAAATCGTCGAGAATGAATTGATCCCCAAAAGAAATGATTTAATTAATTAATCATATTTAATCTGAACCGATGCAAGTTGATTGGTTTACTGTGGATTGATATATGACCTACAATTTACATACAGTTTACAAAGCAGCAACGAATAGGGGGTGGCAACCCAGCAACAATGAGATCGGGATCTAACGGAAAGAATGGGGAAGCACAACAAAAACAGGTCATGCTTGGAAATCAACGGTGGATACGCCAAGAAAGTGTTGCACAAAGTCACAAAGGTGGCTGGAAATCATCAACATAAGGCTTTCATGAGCAGAACAGATTGCGAATCAAGTGGAAAACGATAGCAACAAAACACAATCCTGCAGACAAAGAATGTGGCAGTTTCGTGCAAGAATGGAAGGATTGGATGTTGGAGAACCGATGTAGATTATTGCGAACCAGGATTGACGGCACAATTTACACCAAACAAATGCGTGTCGGAAACCGCTGGCCAGTTTGTCGTTGTTCAAACCTCCACTCAAGCTTATGAGTCATGAGTTGGGTTGGTTTTAAGTCTCTTGCATCAAATCTTGGCAAAAAAACAGGTAGTCAAAATCGCCATGTCAATGATTCAGAAATCATGCCCCTATCATAAGCCAAGAGAAACAGATTCCCAGTGTTTCTATAGACATCCTGGCGGGACGTCGGTGTCCTCCTTGCTGTAGGGTGGCGACACGGGCGCAGCAAAGTATTCCGGTGCATCCTAAGGGGCCCAGTGCTGTTTAGATGAATTGGATGCACCCAGGCTGAGATTCACACCTGAATTAACCTGGTTGGTGGTTTCAACCCCTCTGAAAAATGGGTTGGTAAAAAAATCATCCCCAAATTGGAGATGGTAGTTGCTTATTTGGGAGTACCAACATGTGAAAAACATAATATGTTTCTGGCTGGTGGTTTCAACCTACCCCTCTGAAAAATCTGATTTCGTCAGGTGGGATGATGAAATTCCCAACTGAATGGAAAAATTCATGTTCCAAACATGTCCAAACCACCAATCAGCAATTAAACTATTCCAAGTGTTTGCTGTTGTTCTGAACATCACTTGGCTTTCGATCTTCTATACTGCTATGGTCCCACAATGGGGCCGAAGAAAACACGTCGATTTTCTGATTGTTGGAGATCAGAAAATCCCAGTTGACATATTCCACAGAACCATCTGTGCCCCAAAGAACGGCCCCAGTTGGATCAATTTTTGATCAATCCTTTCCAATGAAAGAATCAGTTGGCTTGGATCCCCCATCAATTGTCGTTGCCAACAAATCATTTACCCGGTAAGGGTAATTTAAGTTGGCATCAATAATCACCATCTTAAATAATCTTAATCATCTATAAATGGGCCATTTTCAATAGCAAACTGTAACAAATTACCGGGTCAATCCCTTGGGAAAATCACACCCTCATCGCCGAATCGTCAGGGCAGCCAGGGGGCCGCCGTGGTATTCATCCCCAAACGAGTGAGGTCGGACATGGCCACGGGTGCATCATTGAGCTGCGGAGGAATGGCAGGAAGAACCTGACCGCGGGGGGTCCACGGTTACGAATGGTTAAGCATGGTTTACTTTGGGCGAAATAAAGGGCTCATTTTATTTCTTTTACTTTGGGAAAAGAAAACAAAAGATTTTTCCATCGCCTTCAGACCAAGTCTGCCTCAGCCTAACTGAGGGGTTGAAATTAAGCGATACCCCCTCCTTCTAATTTGGAATAGAACATGGTCCCGTTTAATTACAGTTGATTTCACTAAAAATGACAATTGTCCATAGCCATGTTAAATTACCAAAGAGTACCAGGAACAAACAAATGTTTCTGAACTGCCTGGCCATCAACTGGAACAGACACGTATCATACTTGGACCCTACCAACCCAAATGGGGATTATTATAATAGATGTTTGACTCTTTGACGAATCTTGGCAAGTTGGTTGTAATTTGGCAAACAATAGAATTTTTGGTGAATATATTTACAGTACATCTATCATTAGATGGGGTTGGAAATCAGCAAAGTAAGCGGGGAGCATTCTTTCCGTATTAGGTATACATCGGAAATCACTTAAACAAAAAATGGAACATCAAACATCCGCGTACGTTTGATCCACATGTCCTTTATGTTTTATCCACGTCTGTTCATTGCTGAAATCACCCAACCCTTTGTTGACTCCACGGTGTCTCCACGGCACCTTGGGGCATTTGGATGGATCCAGGCAGGGCTTTGCGGCCTCCAACTGTTGCGCATCGCATTGCGAGAAGCCTCGGCCGGCGTCGTCGCGAACGGGAACGATGGGGGGTTGGAATTGAACATGGAAAAATGTAGGATATCAATGATATCAACATATAGAAACCACATAAAGGATATAACGTTATTTTTTAATGAGGGATAAAAATGGTGGTGTCACCGAAGTCACCTATAAACAAAGTGGGGTTTAACCATCTACAATGATGTTCAATGGGATGTTTTTTTTTCGGCTACATCTAGGGGGATTTTCTCATATGTTTTTTAACCATCAAATTCATGGAGGTAAACCAAACCCTTTTCCGATTTTCCCATGGAATTCTATGATTTATTGACCTACCATTTGGTTATTTAATAGTTTGCCATGGTATAGATGGCCCATAGAAATAGATGGTTTACCGTTTACCTAGCTATAAACCTCCATTTATGGTTGGGATTTTCTATGGCTATGTTAGTCATAACCAAATGGTATGTGAAATACCAGTTTCAAGGGACAAACCAGCTAAAAGTTGTTCAATACCAGTATATATACCAGGATCGAAACACCGGTATTAAAACATGTGTTTATACTCACTACTTAATGATGGTTGTTAAAATCTATCAATCCGTTGTCTTTCATGATTAGATATAGACTATTAACCAGTAAACAATCAATACATTATATGGTGAATATCTAACTATGATCGAAATATAATATCTAAATATGTATGTCTATCATGTCTAACTTTTATTTTTATAATCATCATTAGACATAAATCCATTGGTTGAACCCCCAAGCGTTTTGCCAAGTGACTGGCTTCCACAATGCTCCCAGCTTCGGGGCCATAGCTCCCAGGAGCGCTACGGCCCACGGTGCCTAAGCCGTCGACCTGCGAAAACACGTGAGGAAATGGTCATGGAACTGGCGTCAAACATAAGGTTTTCATGGGTTTTTTCATGGGTCTTCCATGGGTTTTCCAGTTCGTTTGCGAAGTTGGTGCACATAACTATGCTATAACAATAGTGTATGAGTGTATGATACGCAAATAATTATATTTAGATGGGGTTGTACACCAACTGATAACTGGGGGGGACCATCCTGGGTGTTTCATTGGTTTTTACGCCAAACAAATGTTTTGCTTTCTGAAACTGAACGCAAATACTAAATAATTGGGTTTTGACGGATTTTTGATGTGAAACATGGAGTAAGGAAGGATTGTAAGTAGAACAGCGGAGGAATTTGTGTGTGCTTTTATATTATATATATATAGTAATATAGTATATATATATAAATAGATTTTGTAACTGCAATTGGGATGTTAAGCCAACAGCAGGATTTTGAGCGGCAACAAATGTGGAGTTTTCAGGAAATCGTGAGGGATATCAAATGTTGAACAAACAAGCAAACTAGACATGTTCACGAGTTGGTTGGGAATACATGTGCAATTATGTGCTATAACCCCGAGAGTTTGTCCGAAAATGGTGTGCACCTAAATCGCACTGTTCATCATTTTTCTGATCAAAGTTGCCGTTTTGGGCGGTATCAACCATTTTCATACCAACAACAATGCGAAGACAGTGCTAGGAATGTAACATAATGTAACCTGCTGAGATCTTCTGTCAATCAAACCAGAGTCATGTTGGAATCAAAGTAATGTGTAATTCGCCTGTTTGAAGGCCATGGCCTGAAACCTCGCTATATAGATATGCACTGATGTGCAAATGCATACTAGTGAAGACATGCATAAATAAATATATATATATACATACACACTGTATACAGACTTTATAATACTTATCATTTAAAATATAGGTATCTATGCAAACTGGATCAAACTGGGCATGTACATACACATATATACTTATATATATATATATGTGTACATTGCATATCTTGAGGCATAAACAGCTTTTCAACTGGGCACGCCATCGAGCGCCTTGCATGGGCCACAGATACTGCGTCGCGTGCCATCCTGGATCAATCAAATCAAACGAACATGCACAAGAATTTGATATACACCCATACAGTCATATACATATGTATGTATGTATGTATGTATGCATGTATGTACGTACGTACGTACGTATGTATGTATGTACGTACGTACGTATGTATGTATGTATGCATGTATGCATGTATGTATGGTATGTATGTATGGTATGTATGGTCTGTATGGTATGTATGGTATGTATGGTATGCATGGTATGTATGTAATGTATGTAATGTATGTAATGTATGTAATGTATTTATGTATGTATGTGGGTAATATTTCTATCTACCCATCTTGCTAAATCTGTCTGTCTATCTATAAATTTATCCTGTCTATCTATCTGTCTGTCTATCAATTTATCTATCGATCTGTCTAATCGCATCAAATCTAATCTCATCTATCTGTGAAATCCATCTTCCATCACGCGGACTTGTAGGTAGATTATGGTAGATACGGTATGTGTATGCACACATACGTGTAAATCATATTGAGCAGGGCGACTAAGTAACGCATGACTCGTGCACCAAATGAGGAGCTACAGCAGGACCTTGCACCGTGCTACGTAGCGTGCTGTGCTGGGATGACTCGTTAGGAGCGACACCGTGAAATCTCCATATCTGCCATGGCCATCCCACCAGAAAGGATTCCTGAGTCAATGCGCATATTGAGCCCTAGTGGAAGCTTGGGTACATTATACTGTAATACAACTCTTGATTATATTTGATTAATTAATACTGTGTCCATTTTCCACCATGTATTTATGAGCTTCCGCTGAAAAAATATATATATATTTACATATCAATAGTTGTCATAATTCTCGCTTTTGGTGGGCCATATCGCTTTCCAGTATTTTGTGCCACTATCGCTTTTGGAGGGGGCCCTATCTCCTTACAGTGTTTCGTTCACATCTGACAAAAGTGTTTCTGCAATACTCTGCAATACTATATGGTGTTACAGTGGTCTTCAACCATTTTGGCCCTGACTCATATACATCTGACTCGTATACGTATATACATACATATATCATATATATATATATGCATATATATTAATATATATATATTAATATATATATATATATATATATAAATATATATTAATATATATGCATATATTTTATCCCATGATATCCCCATTAAAACATATCCGTTTTCAAAAGCCAAAACGAATGGACTGATCACCGGATCATCCCCCGTGAATCCACTCCTTGCGCGTATAGGACGTCCACATGCAGGAGACGCCTGCGCTCTTGCCCTTGGCCATGCCTGGGCCGAGACCAAGGCTCAATCCATGGCTAAATTCATGGCTAAATCCATCTATAAATGGATGATTTGGGGTACCCCCCATTTGTTTTGGAAACCTCCATATGCTGGTATTTTGGTGGTGATAGATGATTATGATAGATATTGATATAGTCACCCATTTGGAGGCGGGCACGCCTTTTTTTGATGGCTACTATACCTACACACACACATGAGGTTACAACAAACACAATAAAAACCGGGCTTTGACCAAATTGGTGTTCAAATATGTCCAGTGGGTGAGCTAAATTCTCTGTGAGTCAATGAGCCCGACGACCAATTATTATTCTCATAATATGAGCGACACGAGGGACGGAGTTCCACCGGTGAATTTCAATATGATATTCTATTTTATAAAATTCATATATAACCCACAATTCACCCATTCTATTCTATTTCATCCATATTTTACACATGGTTATTTTATTAAAATTTAACCCATATTCTATTCTTTCAGTGGGCGGGTACATCGGCACATTGTTTTGGTGAATCAAAAAGATTCACTCCGTTCAAATCAATGAATCCGACGTGAAGCTCCTGAACACTCCCATGACTAGTGGTAAAAAAAAATGCTGGTTGGGGTAAACTATGGTAAATATGGAAAATATATTGTTTTTGGGAGAGGTTTTACTAAAATCTAATGTCATCTGGTTGGTGGTTGAGCCACCTACCCCTCTGAAAAATGATGGAGTTTGTCTGTTGGGATGATGAAATTTCCAACTGAATGGAAGAATAAGAAAATGTTCCAAACCACCAGCCAGTATGACTATTTTAGATGGATCTACGGAAATCTGTTTGGGGTTTGCTGTACTTGGATTTAGTTAAGATGGATCCCTCCCCCCAAAAAAAATATGGATTTCCCAAACGGTGTATTTCCCCCAAATCACCGACTAAAAAAAGTTAGTAAAGAAATAATTAGTAAACCATCCCCAACTCATTCCTATGGATAGGATAAATCATCAATTCATATGGGTGTTTTACTATTGCTTTACTAACATTACGGCCAGGACGGGTGTGCTGCCCGGGGAAGTGTGTTTTGACTGCGCAGGGCCAGTGTCTTGTGAGATTCGGGATGTCATCTAGCTCCAATGGCTGACGAGAATTGCCCTCCTCCTCCTCCTCATCATCATCATCACCATCATCATCATCATCAAACATGAACCCCAAGTACGCCTTGAAACTAAAATCTGATTAAAACCATGGTAGAGAAAAACATAACTAAAACCCTAAAAATCCTGAATGAAACCCGAAATAAACTTTAAACACACCCTAAAGAGTTGGTCGCATGGTAAACCTCAGGCGGCACACCCAGCCTTGGGGTAACAGTACCACATTAATTATATAATATATATATATGTGTGTGTGTGTAACATCTGAACAGATGTAAGTAAAACTTCCTTGACTCTTGCCGTGTTACTTTTACAGGAAACCTGTTTATATTCGCAGGGGGACTGGAGCCGATTTGCCTATCCAGTCCAACGAAGCTATGGCATTTCGGTGGATGAGTGGTCTGATCAACCACTTGTACCTGCAAAACTCTGTTTGAACTGTTGACCAAGCTGTTACACTGCGTTGTTTCGACCCTACACGGTTGCCACAATCTGTATTGCATGCATCAGAACCTTCCTCAGATTTTCGCCGAAACCATATCGCCGACAGTATTATGATTTTTTGGCATATTTTCGCCGAGATCATGTCGCCGACGAACTTTGGGTCTTTTTGGGAAACAATCGCCGAAACATTATTTTGGATTTTCAACATGCTGGTCAAAACTCTATGGACTCTGGTTTTAACTACGTTTGACAATATTGGATGCCCTACATCGTTTTCGAGAAGTACCTCATATGGCTCCTTTATTAATCTAACGATCTAGGCTGGTTTGCATGTTTCAGGATTCAGTTCCTGCCGGATCATATAATGATCCATTCTTGTCTAGTGTGATTTCCATGGTGGCTCCGACATGGTGCCATGGAGCCAATTGAGGCAACCCTTTTCAGGGTGAGTGATGACTGTCCGGACTACCGAATTTACGAATTTTAAGTTGGTAATTCATCTAAGTAAACTGCAACAGCCGGCCATACTGTTTTTCCAGCCTTTTGAAATTGTCCCGCTGATCTTGTGGTCCCAGGGATTCCTCGCCGATGCGTTTCTTCAACTGTGAAGCCGTTCTGAATTGCCAGAAACCTCCGTTTTTTGCAGCACTTTTACAGCGACATTGCATCATGTTACGACACTTGCCACAGGCAGGCACATGACTTTCAGGTGTGGTGACTTTTTCTCTTGATGGTTATTTGGTGAGGTGCAACATATTGTGCATTTAATTCGTTGGAACTTGGAAGCTGTTTTATGCCATTGCGGCACGACTTGACCACGGTCCCGGTGCAGGGAATAATCGCACGACTTTTTAGGCTGTTAGGGACTGAATCCTGTATGTGATTGTTCACTGTTGTTTTGATCTACTGGAGCGATGCATCCGTGGAACACTCCGCCAACGTCATGGCCTGCTCCACCGCAGCCTGCGAACCCATCTTCGACGTGGCAGCAATCAACGCCGAATGCACATCTATTTGGACATCCCTCGGCCTTGCATCCTACATGGTCATCCTCAGCGTCGCTCATGCCGTCTACATCAACCCCAACATCGTTGCCGTTCACCTCATTGACTTCGGCTCCTCATGCGGTACCAGGCCCACAGCTCGTACCCACCATGCCTTCGCCTTTGGCCCCTGAACCAACTATGGTGCACACCGCTCCGTCGACTTTTCCATCTCCTATGGCACCCACCGCTCCACCCACGTGGCCTTCCCCTCGGGCTCCATCCCCTACATCGACTACACCACCTACATCGACTATGACATCGACACCTTTGCCCAGTTCTCCATACCCACCTCACCACATTCAACCTCCATTACAGATGGACGCATCGACGGTCCCTCCAAATGAGCCTTCACCACGGGCCCCAGCAGTCAAGGCAGCTCCCAGGCATCGCTCTGACAAACGTCCGGATCGACCGCGCAGGCCAGCTCCGAAAGCCCCTCCTCACGCTACAACACCGGCACCTACGACAGCACCGACTTCATCCGTGCCACCTGAACTTGCATCCCTGGGTTCCACTGCACAACAACTTGCTGAATCTGTTCGACTTATTCAAGCTCAGCAACAATTGATCATGGATTCTCAACGAGCACAAGAACAACGTCAACTCCTTCTTCAACATGATGAACCTCCACCGAATCCTACACCACCGACACCGCCACCTACAACCACACCACCATTGATCGCCACGCCTCCACCTGCACCGAAAGCCAGACCCACCGAACCGGACGTTCAGGACCTTCGCATTGTCCCAGCTCCAGCCATCGCTCCTCCTCACCAACCACAAGTTCCACCACCACCAACACGCCGACCACGATCCAGCACTCCAAGATCACGTTCCCATCGACCTTCTGTACATTCCCATCACCATCGCAAATCTCCTCAACGTGCAGCTCGACCTCGTTCTCCTCTTCCTCGTTATCGATCATCCACGAAACACGCCAAGGACCGCCGAACCCCATCCCCATACAGACGAAGATCACCGCCAAGACGTCGCTCTCCTGTGGTTCCTCGACGTCATCGATCTCACCCACGCCCACGCTCCGCGACACCTCGTCACCGATCCAGAGGCCGTGAAGTCGTACTTCGACCTGCTGCAAACCCATCCAATCCGAACTACATTCCCACTCCCGATGCTGATGACACCTGGGGCTCATGGAACGAAAGCCACTACACCGACAACTACCACCACCACACTGCTCGACCCAATTCTCCTGCCGATCCACCACTACCGGAACCACCAACCAACCCACCAACCCACACTTCAGCACCACTCGGCGCGGTGTCCTTCCGAGTTCCGGACGGCGACAGTGAAAATTCTGAGGTTGCAGATACAATTTCGATCACCAAGTTTGACACGAATGACATCGACCTCGATGAAATGGTGGAGGCGGCCAATGACCCCCATAGGGTCCGTTGCCTGACTGAGCTTGGCCCCGACCATGTTGTTCCCCTACGCCAATCATTGACTCCGGCTATCTTGCAGCTCTTCAACCAATTTGTGGACGCGATGTTCGAACAGCTGGCTCAACCATACCGTACCGTCAACAACCATCGTATTTACATCAAAGCAAGCCAAGCCACCGTCAGGAACATTGCCAGAGCCTTTGCACAATCCAACTTGCTGGACATCGACCTTGCGAGGCAAACACAGGCCTTCTACATCGAGCCAGAGAACCTGCTGACCATCACGGTACCCACAGGATTGCCAAAGAAACCAATCTACCGTGGCGAACACATGGGCACCTACCTGATCTACCACAAAACGAGTTGGGAAACAGTTGCCAAAATTCTGGCGGAAGACTGCATTCGCCCGGCAACTTGGACAAAAAACGAAGCCGGCATGCCAACTCAATACCCATGTTACGGGTTCTTCGGAATGTCCTCTGAGATCGCAGACATCGACAACCTACCCGGCTATGCTGTCAAGATCTGTACCTCTCAGCTCTACAAAATAGGCAAAGGACAAAACCCATCAGGCCTACTGGCCATATGCCGCTCACCCAAATGCATCCGTGCCCTAGCTGGAGGAAATGACCAAATCCAACGCTTGTGCAACCTCGCGGGCATCGCCAAGGGCAAAGACAATGCAACGGCTATGAACTCAAGCGCCGCATCTATATGCTACGGTAGCTGCCTCCACTCACACGGTTTTCCCGGGCTTGATCACACACCAGACTGCGGAGACCAATGCACCTTCGGAACCTCCTGATGATCCTGCACGTCCAGTACGACCTGACCCTTCTGCCGACGTCCCAGAACCTTCGGAGCCGCCCCCAGACGACTCTTGCGACACACCGAGCCACCGCGAGACCGCTGCCTCTGGCTCTCGGGACTATGCTCGCCGATCTTGGCACGACAATGCTTCT